GAACGCGCGCGGCCGGCCGCGTGCGGTCGCGCGGCTCCGGCTCCCGAAGCGCGAGCGCGCGGCGCTCGCGCGGCGGGACGCCGCCGCGGCGGCGGCGCTGCGCAGGGACGAGGCCGCCGCCGCGGCCGCGGCGCTCCGGCGCCGCGGGGACGAGGCCGCGGCCGCGCGCGCGCGCGCGCGCGCGGCCGAGGACGGCTGGCTCGACGGCGTCGTCCTGCCGGGCGACCTGCGGACGCGCGTGCTGCAGCTCGCCGTCGCGACGCGCAACGCGAAGCGCAACCGCGCGCCCTTCCGCCACATGCTCCTCCACGGGCCGCCGGGCACGGGCAAGACGCTCGTCGCGAAGCGGCTGGCGAAGGCGTCGGGGCTCGAGTACGCGCTCATGTCCGGCGGCGACGTCGGCCCGCTCGGCGCGGACGGCGTCACGGCGCTCCACACGCTCTTCCGCTGGGCGCGGACGTCGGACACGGGCGTGCTCATCTTCATCGACGAGGCCGAGGCGTTCCTCGCGTCGCGGTCGCGGAGCAAGCTCACGGAGCACATGCGCAACGCGCTCAACGCGTTCCTCTACCAGACGGGGTCGCCGACGAAGTCCTTCATCCTCGTGCTCGCCACGAACCGCGCCGAGGACCTCGACGAGGCCGTCCTCGACCGCGTCGACGAGACGCTCTACTTTGGGCTCCCGGCGCTGCCCGCGCGGCGGAGCCTCGCGGCGCTCTACTACGCGCGCTACGTGACGAGCCTCGTCTACGCGCCGTCGCGATTTCGCGCGCTGCTCCGCGCGCTGACCTTCGCGCCCGCGGCCCTCGCCGTCGCGCCGGACGTCACGGACGCGGTCCTCGACGACGTCGCCAAACTCACGGACGACTTCTCGGGCCGCGAGATCGAGAAGCTCTTCGTCGCCGTGCAGAGCATCGCCTACGGCTCGGGCTGCACCCTCGACGCGGCGACGCTCCTCACCGTCGTCCAGGCCAAGCGCGACGAGCACGCGCACAAGGCCGCCATGAACGACGGCGCGTCCATCCGGTCCGCGCCGAACACGCCGCGGTCGAACCTCGCGACGTCGCCGGCCGTCAACTCGCCCGGGCGGCGCCGCAAGTAGGAGGAGCCCTAGACGTAGTAACTCCAGACGGAGAAGAAGATCCACGTCTTCAGCAGGACGGCGGCGGGGAAGAGCGCGCGCGCGGCGATGTCGCACCGCAGCGACAGGTCGAAGCCCATGACGCGGTCGACGACGGCGTAGCCGTAGCGCGCCTCCGCGCGCTCGAAGCGCGCGAGCTCGAAGCGCTGCTCGATGGTCGAGAGGAGCTCGAGGAACTCGGCGAAGGTCAGCCGGCCCGCGGCGTCCCTCGGCGCGCCGTCGTAGATGTGGTCGAGCACGCGCGACGAGCAGAAGACGTTGAACGACCGCAGGAGCCTCCGGCACCGCCGCGCGTCCAAGGGGTCCGTGGGCGCGTAGTAGCCGTCGGCCGTGTACTTCCGTCGCACGTAGTCGACGATGGAGTGCACCTCGCGCGCGCGCGTGTCCGCGTCCGCGAGACGCCTCGGCCGCGACGCCTCGGCCGCCTCGGCGGCGGTCAGCCGGAGCGCCGGCGCCTCGACGCCGTCGTCGTCGTCGACGTCGACGAAGACGGGCCCGGGCGCGGCGGCCTTGAAGGAGCGGACCGCGGTCTTGTGGCGCGCGAGGGTGAGCATGAAGTCCCTCGCCTCGTGCTCCTTGGCGACGCAGAAGCAGACGACGCCGTACTGGACCGCGCAGAGGAAGATGAGGATCTGCGACGCCGCGAGGAAGTCCGTCAGCCAACAGTTGTAGGAGATTTGCGGGATGGTCTCGAAGATGCTGTTGATCAGAGTCCGCTCGACGAGGAGGCCCATGGACACGATGGCGACGCGGCCCGGCACGGAGTGGCGGTCGACGAAGAAGCCGAGGTAGACGAAGCCGAGGAAGATGAGGTCGGGGACGAGGCCGTTGACGACGTAGTAGTGGGGGTTCCGCCGGAACTCGAGCTGGCCGATGACCGTGTCCCAGTCCTGGTCGATGTCGTCGAGCGAGTCCGGCCGCGAGGACATGAGACCGTGCGTTTTGCTCACGGTGTTCTGGCCGACGTGCTTGAAGCCGTCGACGTTATCCTCGACGATCCACGTCGTGTGCTCGAGCCTGCTCGTGGAATAGACGGAGACGCCGCTGTACTCGTCCCCGACCTCGCCGCCCTTGGCGACGAGGTTCAGCTCCGTCGAGTCGTCCATGTACGTTTCGAACGAGATGTCGCACTTGTGCCGGTCGAACGGGAGCTTCCCGAAGTGGAGCGGGCACGTCAAGCCCATCGACAGCATGACCGTCCGCAACACGGTGCCGTCCGGGTAGAGCATGAGCGCCCCGCCGTCGATGTTCGTGAAATCGGGGAAATCGCCCATCTGCGTAATAATAACACCCGGATCCCAGATCAACGTTCGCAGTTCCCTGATCTCCGCGCCCACCGTGGAGCACGCCGCCTCGTCCGTGTTGAGCGCGAGCCGGGGGTCGTTCCACAGCACCTACGCGCGCGCGAAGCGTCGACGCGAGCGCCGGGCGGCGCGCGCGCGGACGAGGCGACGACGGATGGGGATCCCGGATGGACGCGGGAGACGCCGACGCGAAAATAGCCCAGGAGCGTGAACGTCCGCGCGACGGTATCCACGCCCTTGAACGACAGCAAGCGGAGCTGTACTTGTATTTTATCCGGCGGCGGGTGCGTCACGGATAGGTTCGCCCTGCCTGGCCGGACCTGCCTGTCGTAGACCGCGGGATCCACGAGCGCCCGCAGGGCTGCCGTCGTCGTCGCGCTGCAGCTGCCCGCTGCCGCGCTGCACGCGGCGGGCAGCAGCAGGAGCAGCAGACATGACAGCATCTCCATTTTGCAGCTCCATTGCATTCTGCCGGAGCGAGCTACAATCAGACGATGTTGAAGGGAAAGCTGAGGGCTTGTGGCAACGGAGCGCCTGTCCACTATCGCATGGCGTCGTCGCCTCTGGGCTCGCCATCGAGACGCCGACAGCCCCCCCCCCTCGGCCGCCGACGTCAGCGCAGCGAGTGGAGTCCTGTCGAAGGCCGCAGATAAGTGCCAACAGGTCGGTCGAGGCGACGTGAACAAGGCGCTCGGTGTTTTACAGCTCATATGTGAAAGGGAACCGAAGAGCTCGCTCAGGAAGCTGGTCGACGTTTTGGACGCCTTCGTTCGCCGCGCGGAGCCGTGGGCGTGCGACGGCGCGAGTCGCGTTTCCGCGCTCAAGCTCAAAGCGCGACTGGAGACACTCGTCGCGAGGCCGCGGGTTCCCGACGCGCCGCTGAACCACGACTTTAGAGAAGATGCGCCGACGTCCAAGCCCTCGCCCCGGGGAGGAAACGCGTCCCCGAGGTCGCCGCGTTTCGCGCACGAGACCGTCGGAAGCCACCTCATGCCTTCCCTCCTGCCGGCGGACCCCCCGAGCCGCCGGCGCCGCTCGGAGGAAGTTCCGGAGTCGCCGAAGGCTTCGGCCAAGCCGCTGAAGTCCTCGTCGCCGAGGAGCCACTTCCCCCGGGATCGGGGCCGGCCGCCGTTGCCGTCGCTCCTGCCGGCGCCGGCGGCGGACCCCAGGGCCTCGGCCCGGCCGCTGAAATCGCCGGCGCCGAAGACCCACTTCCCGCGGCGGGACTGCTAACGTGTATAGACGACGCGCGTCCCCCCTAGCGGCGGGCCTTCTGCTTGAGGTAGGCCTCGTAGCCGCGGAGGATGTCCTCGTAGGCGGGCGAGACGTGGGGCCGGACGGACTGGAGCTTGCGGTAGATGTCCGCCGCGTCCGCGGGCACGTGCGCGTGGCCGAGGACGTAGTGGCGGTAGAGGAACATGCAGGCGGCGATGCAGGCCGCGCGGTGGATGCCCGCGAGGCAGTGGACGGCGACGGTCCCCCGCTGGAGCGCGTCCCAGGTCGCCTCGTTGATGGCGTCGATCTTCGCGTTGATGTTCGCGCCGCGGCTGCTGTACCACTTGTGGACGGCGTGCGCGACGACTTTCGGCGGCGACCCGCTCGCCCAGGGCGACCCGGCCTTGTAGGGCCGGCCCGGCCGGTCCTGGTGGCAGTTGACGACGAGCTCCAGGTGGTGGAAGATGGGCTCCGTGGGCACGTCGCGGCAGAGCGTCTCCTCGTCGCTCAGCAGGAGCGCGCGCGTCCGGCCGAGGCTCAGCCAGGGCACGACGGAGTAGTTCGTCCAGGACCCGTGGGGCGTGAGGTCCGCGTGCTCCCAGCGCGTCATGGGCGCGCCGGCCGCCGGCGCGTCGGGCCGCGCGTAGAAGAGCCGCGGGCAGAACCGGCTCTTGACGTCGGCCTCGGCGAGGAGCGCGAGGGGCGCCGCGCCGGCCAGGACCTCGGCGAGGGCGACGAACTCGTGCTGGCCGTCCTTCTCCTGGCGCACGGAGACGTAGACGGACTCGTCGCCGTCGCTCGGCCCGAAGCCGGCCAGGGGCACGGCCTTGCCGCCGCCCACGGGCACGGCGGTCCAGGACCGGGCGTCGAGGGCGTCGCCGCGGATCGTCAGGCGCAGAATCTTCTCGTGCTCCAGGGCCGCCGTCAGCACCTCGCCCTGCGCCTTCTTCATCTTGTAGGCCTCGGCCGGGCGCATCGCGGGGGCTGCGATTGCAAACGAATGCGATCGAACCGTCTGGGCAGCTCAGTGCGAATTTTGTTGAGGCAAACTTGCGGGTAACGTGCTTTCAGCGACTAGTGGCAGTACCGATGCCAAGCGACCTGCAACACCTTCGTGTGCTCAGTATGGTCGAGATCGCCAAGCAGCGCGGCGGCACCGTCACGCAGTGCTGGGCCCACACGCGAGCGGGCCAGCGCTGCGCGTCCGCCGTCGCCGCCGGCGCCGTGCCCTACTGCGCCGCGCACCTCAAGGCCGGCGACGGCGCCCTCGAGAAGGTCGCGCACCCCGACGCGCGCATCGGCTTCTGCCTCGTCGCGCGGCGCGCGCTGCCCAAGGGCTACAAGGTCGCGTTCTGGGGCGACCGGTCGCGCTGCCAGACCGTCGACGTCGACGACCGGTGCCTCCAGTACCTCAGCGGCGCGAAGCGCACGAACCCGAACGGCGTCATCGACCCCGCGCCGCACCCGGGGAGCCTCGGCCAGTACATGAACGCGCCGTCGCCGCGCGAGCTGCCGACGGCGCGGCGCACGCGGACGTACTTCGGCGCGCACAACGACGGCGGCCTCGTGGGCCAGGCCTTCGAGACGACCGTGCCCCTGGCGCGCGGCGCGCAGCTCGCGTTCCCCTACGACAACGAGTGGTGGCGCATCCGGGGCCTGCGGCGCCTCGACGCGGGCTGCGGCGCGTTCCCGCTTCCGCGGAGGGACCCGGGCCGGCGCCGCGATGCCGCGCGCGCGCGCGAGGGCCGGCGCCTCGACGCGCTGCTCCCGATCCTGGCGCCCTTCCTCGACGAGGGGACGTGCTCGCTCGTGGAGCTGGGCTGCGGCAGCTCGGGGGGCCTGCCGCTCGCGCTCGCGGCGACGCGGCGCCGCTTCCGCCGCGCGGGCGTCGTCGGCGTCGCGAGCGCCGCGGCGACGCGGGCGCTGCTCGCCAAGGCCTGCGCGCGCGCGACCTTCGTCGCCAGCGCCGCGGCCGTCGCCGTCGTCGGCGCGGACGTCGTCGTCGCGCCGACGAAATCCGCCGCCGCGGACGCGCACGCCGCGCGACTCGCGCGGCGCGCCCTCCGCGACGGCGGCGCGCTCGTCGTCGAGGCGTCGGGCGACGACGACGCCTTTTTCGCCTGGGTCCGCCGCGCCGCGCGCGTCCTCGGCGGCGGCCGCGCGACGATGCACCGGTCCGCGCCGGACTGCGCGGTCTACGTGTTCGAGCGCGCCGGCGGCGCCGGCGGCGTCGACGTCGAGGTGCGCGACTACGACTAAAGCGATGTTACAGGAGCCCGATGGCCTTCGCGTGGGCCGGGCAGTAGCGGCGGAGGTACGTCTCGAGCTTGCCGCCCGCGCCATCGCCGAGCCGCTCGCAGCCGAGCTCCGCCGCGGCGGCGTCGATCTCGGCGCGCGCCGCGGCGACGTCCTCCGGCGAGCCGTCGGTCATGACCTCGAGCTCGAGGACCCGGTGGCCGTAGGACGCCTCGTCGACGTCGACCCGCACGCGGCCGGGCAGCGCGTACGTGTCGCGGAACGTCGTGAACGCGGCGAAGACGTCGAGGCCCGGGAAGGGCAGCGTCTCGCCCGGCACGCCGAGGGCCGCGAGCTCGCCGACGATCTGCGCCTCGTCCTCGACCTCGCGGAAGACCGTCGTCTCGCCTCCGGACGCGACGCGGTCGCCGTGGGGGATCTTCAGCTCCCAGGCGCCGTCGCGCCGCCGGAGCCACGTGTCCTGGGACGTCAGGGCCAGCGCCGCCGTGTCGAAGTACTCGTCGTGGAATTCCACGGACGACGTCGCCGACCCGCCGGCGGCCTTGACGCGCGCGGCGAAGGCGTCGCGGTCGCCGCTCACGGCGAACTTCTCCTCGACCTCGACGCTGCCGGCGCCGAGCGTCGCCATGCGCGACCGGCGGATGGCGATCGGCGCGCGCAGCGCTGATGTGCGCACGGCTAGTAGCAGCACGGAGATCATACGATCGATCCGAGAGCACTGCTAGGCTAGGAGAGGTTAACAGCTAGAGGGCCTACCCGGGGGGTTTGCGGCACCAGGCCTTGCGGCACTGGGACTCCAAGCCTAGCCGCGCACTGCAATTTGGGTGCAACGAGTTCAACGTCGCGCGCGTCGGCGCCTTCGGACTGCGTGTAGGGACTTCTTGCTACGCGAGTGCATCGACTTCAACGTCCGTGCCCGCGGGCGACTACGTGTACGGCGCTTTGTGCTGTTCAGTGGGATTTAGAGACGCGGGGCGCGCCGCGACTCCGTTTTCGGGCCAGCGCCTAGCGGCAGCAGGTCGACCGGCGGCGCGGCGGACCGTCGTCGTCGTCGTCGGGGTAGAGGCTCGTGCTGCCGCGCTTCACGCCCTCCGTGTTGTTGCATTCGATCTCTCCGGCCTTGATCATCCCATAGACTTTCCGCGCGGGCGCTACGAACGCCTCGTCGACGTTCGTCCGCGTCTTCGCCGACGCCTCGAGGAAGATGAGGCCGTTTTCGAGCGCAAAGGCCGCGCCCTCTGCCTCGGAGACCGCGCGCTGGTGCACGAGGTCGCACTTGTTCGCGATGAGGACGACGAGGCACTGATCGTTGGAGTTCTTCCGCGTCTCCGCGAGCCAACGCCGCACGTTCTCGAACGTCTCGCGCCGCGTGACGTCGTAGACGAGGAGCGCGACGGCCGCGCCGCGGTAGTAGGACCGCGTGATCGAGTGGAAGCTCTCCTGGCCCGCCGTGTCCCAGATCTGGAGCTTTAGCGGCACGCGCGGTTCGACGTAGATCATGCGCGCCCCGAACTCGACGCCGATCGTGAGCTCGTGGGCCTCCTTGAAACGCCGGTCCGTGAACTGCAGAAGGAGGCAGCTCTTGCCCACGCCGGTGTCGCCCACGACGATGTACTTGAGTAATGCGTAGTAGCTCATTGAGAGACAGGCGAAGACGTCCGGACCGACGGCGTGTCGATCGGCGCTGTGCTCAGGCCGTGCGTAGCGACGCCGAGCCGGAGCACTGCCCCGAGAAAAAGCAGGAAGCCCTTGCCGATGGACGCTCTGTACAGCTGTGTTAGCACGGCGCCACGAATTTTGACGCCACCAAAAATGACACAGTTTTTCGCGATCGCCTCGGAGGCCTCCGCCGTGCACCACAGTACCGCCTCCGTATGCCTGCTAGCCGGCCGGATCCTCTCCCACTACAAGGCTATGTTACTCGAGATTAAGAGCTCTCCTTGCGCTCCTCGATTTCGAGCTCCTCGAGCGCGCCGCGCATTGCGGCGTAATACGGGTCGTCGACGCCGCCGTTCTTCGCTTTGAACTCGTCCAGAATTTGCAAAAGGCCGGCCGCGCCGGTGAGTAGCTCCGGAGCCGGCGGCGGCGTCGCGGCGGGCTCGTCGGCCGGAGGCTCCGGCGGCTCCGCGGCGGGCTCGTCGGCGCGGTCGACGGCCCTCGCGGACTGCGCGCGGTACAGATCCATCTCCTTCTCGTAGCGCGCCTTGTCCTCGTCGGCCAACGCCTGATACTTCTTCGTCGCTTCCGGCGTCATCTTGCGCCACAGCCTGCCGCATTTCTTGGCAATCTCGGGAAAAGACATGCCCTGTTTCTCCAGCTTCGGGCGCTGCTCGTCGACGAAGATGACATACGCACTCCTCCTCCCCTTGGGCTTCGCGGATGGATCGTCGGCGCTGCGCGTCTGATGCAGCAGGATGACATGAATCCGGCGTCGGCCGAGGTACGGTTCAATGATTTCGGAGACTTTCGCGGAAGCGTCAACGCGTACGCAATTTTGAACTGCTAACATCTGGTACACCTCACTGGCATCCGCTGTGCTGTATCCCGACAATACAGAAGCTTCAAGGAACTTGAAAGGCGGCTTGGACTTGACCAGCTGGCGCGCGGTGGCTGCCATTTCCTTCAAACTTTCATTTTCATATATTTCCGTAGTTTTCGAGAGAAAGTTCTTCGCAAGACCCATCGCGCAGTCGTACGAATCGAGCTCGAGCATGGCCGGGGCGTCCGGGTCTATGAAATAGAAGCCACCCACTGCCTCAAGCGGAGTCTCATAATGCGCGTACATGAATATCAACTCCGTTTCTGCCTCTGGAATTCGAGGGCGCAGGATCACTCTGGACGAATACGTGACAACGTCGTCAAGCGCGACGGGCGCGCCCTCCTCCTCGAGGTTGGAACCGATTGGTGCCAGAGACGCGACGATAGACCCGTGCTTCGAGATCCCGTGCACCTTGAAGAGCCGGGCCGCGTAATAACACACGGCCTTCCCCTCCGGCTGACCTGTAAATTCGCATTGCAAGCAGCGCACTGACGGTCTGCCCTCGTCTTCGAGCCACTGCACTTCGACGTCCACCATTAACGTCGAGGAGCACGATGCGATCAGCGCGCCGCGGGCGACGCTGTAGGGCAACTGTCGTTTCGAGTAAACCCGCGCGCCTCCTCGAGGCGTCGAGCTTTTTTTGACACTGCGTTCGGCGAGCAGGGGCCCTTACTCCGACCACAGTCCCTGGAAGGCGTCCTGGAGCCCTACGTTGAGAGAAACACAACTTAGTCGTCCCAGTCGTCGTCGCCCTCATCGGACGCGAAGTCGTCGTCGTCGCCGCCCTCGATGGCGACGCGGCGGCGCTCGAGCATGCCGAGGAGGTTCGCGCCGTCGTCGAAGAGGTCGCGGACCTCGCCTTTGCCGTCGGGCGCGAGGCCGTGGTTCGCGCGCGCGCGGCGCCGCGCGGCCTCGCGCTTCGCGCGGTCGTCGGCGCGGCGGCCGCGCGCGTCGCCCGCGGCGAGGTCCGCGAGGCAGCGGTCGAAGGCCCGCGCGAAGTCGAGAAGCTCCGCGAGCCACGCGCGGTGTCGCGCGGCGTCGCCCTTGGCGTCGGCGCCGAAGAGCGCGAGCAGCGCGTCGGCGTCGCGCGCGGCCGTCGCCTCGGCGGCCACGAGGCCGCGGACCTGCGTCTCGAGCCACCGGGCGAAGTCGCGGAGCGGCGCGGCGTCGTCGGGCCCTTCGTTCGCCTCGGCCTCGGCGCGGCGGACGTCCGCGCGGAGCCCCGCGAGCGCGTCGCCCAGGGCGCCGGGCTCGTCCTTGGTCGCCCGGGCGAGCGGGGCGACGACCTCGAGGCCGAGGCGGCCGCAGGGCGCGAGGCCCGGCGCCGCGCGCGCGAGTTCCGCGAGGAACCGGAGCAGCGACGGCCGCGCGCCCGCGGAGCCCTTGACCTGCGCGAGCTTGTGGAGGTCGCCGACGCCGACGCCCGCGGCCTCGCGGCTCGTGCCCGCGTTGACGGCGTTGCCGACGACCAAAGCGAGGCGGAGCGTCGCCCTGAGCGCCGGCGAGCCCCGCGCGGCGTCGACGGCGGTCTTGAGGCGGTCGACGACCGCCGCGGCCGCCGCGAGGCGCGCGGGCGCGGTCAGCCGCGAGAGGGCGACGTCGACGCGCTGGCGGAGGCGGGGCGTCGACGCCACCAACTCCGCGACCCACCGGTCCGCGTCGCGGAGCGGCGCGGGCCGCCGGAGCGCGGCGGCGAGCGCGGCGCGCTCGCCGGCGTCGTCGGCCGCCTTGGGCGGCAGGCCGACGCGGCGCACGAGCTCGAGCGCGTCCTCGTCGAGGCCGAGGTCCGCGCCGCGCTCGCCCCGGAGCGCCGCGGCGACGCGGGCCGCGTCGCCGAGGCCGGCGTCCTGGATCTTCCGCAGCGACAGCGCGGCCTGCTGCGCGCGCTTCGCGTCGAGCGGCGCCGCGAAGTTTTTTTGGGACGCCTCCTCGCGGAGCGCCGCCGGCGGGCCGTTTCGCGCCGCGCCCGCCTCCTGGCGGAAGTCGCGCGCGAGGTCCGGCAGCCTCGCGCGCAGCGCGGCGCGCGCGGCCTCGAAGTCCGCGTCGCGGCCGGCGCTCCAGAACGACTTCGCGTAGGCGGCCTGGTCCAGGGGCTCCCACCAGAGCGCCTTGAGCTTCTCCGTCGCCCGCGGCGCGGCGACGGGCTTGGGGTAGGCCCGCGTCGACCGCTCGCGCGCCAGCGCCGCGGGCGGCTCGAGGCCCAGCAAGGCGGGGTCGAGGCCCTCGGCGGCCATCTTCGTCGCGATGCCGTCGCGCGGCATGCCCATCTTGAGCAGCTTGCGGTACTTGGCGACGGCCTTGTCCTCGCCGTCCTCCGCGGGCGGCGGCGCGTCGACTCGAAGGACGACGGCGACGGGCGCGTCCGACTCGGCGGCGGCCGCGGCCGCGCGCTCGGCCGGCGCCGGCGCGTCGTCGGCGGCCTTCAGGTTCGGGAAGAAGCGCGTGAGGATGCGCGCGACGGCGCCCGTCGCCGCCGCCGTCTCCGCCTCGGGCGACGCGGCCGCGAGGGGCGCGCGTTCGGCGGCGAAGGGCGCGCGTCCGGCGGCGGCCGCGAAGGGCGCGGCCGCCGCCGCGGCCGCGAGGGCCGAGCGGGGCCTCCGCGGCGCGTCGCCCGAGGCGTCGAGCTGCTCCGCGGCGGCGTCGAGCGCGTCCGCGGCCGCCGCGATGGCGCGGACGTCGTTGCAGCCCGCGACGCCGCGGTCGACGCGCGCGACCAGGGACGCGAGGTGGTCGCGCGCGTCCGCCGCCGCGACGTCGGGCCGCCGCAGCAGCGCGGCGAGGTCGCCGTCCCGGGCGACGCGCAGCGCCTCGGAGTCGTCGTCGTCGAGGGCGACGCGGTCGAGCTCGTCGACGATGCGGACGACGTGGAGCCGCGCGGCGAGGCGCGTCATGCCCGGGTGCGCCGCCGGCTCCGCGGCCTTGGCGACGGGCTTCTTCGCGTCCGGCGCCTCGCGCGCGAAGAGGCCGCCCTTCGGCGTCAGCTCCTCGCGGAGCGACGGCGCCGACCGCCGCGACGGCGTCGGCGCGCCGCAGGCCTCGCGCAGCGCGTCTAACGCGTCCTGGACGCCGCAGGCGCGGAGCTCCGCGCGGAGCCGGAGCCGCGCGCGCACGGTCCGCGGCGCCTGGCCCCTGGGCCGCGCCGCGAGCGTCGCCACGAGGTCCGCGAGGCCCGCGCAGTACGCGCTCGCCCACGTCGGCGTCGAGTCGCGGCCCGCGTGGGCCCGGCCCGTCCGCGCGACGAGGTGCGTCGCCGCGTCGCGGAGCCGCGCCTCGACGCAGCCCCAGGGCTCGCACTGTAGGCCCCGCGAGTCCGTCCCGGGCCAGTGCTTCGCCGCGCCGAGGTCCCGCAGCGCGGCCGTCACGGCCTCGTGGCCCTCCGTCGACGCCGCGGCCGCGGACGCGAGGTTGAGCAGCACCGTCGTCGCGTACGCGGCCGCGTTCTCGTTCGTGGGCGCTAAGGAGTCGAGGTTCGCGGGCCCGTAGCTGAGGAGCGCCGCGTCGGCGAGGAGCAGCGTCGGCGCGACGATCTCGTCCGCGCCGGTGAGCGCCGCGCCGCCGCGGCCGCTCCGCGTCGCGCTGTAGGCGCTCAGCGCCTGCTGGAGCGTGGGCTCGCGCGCGAGGCTGCAGAGCACGCGCGTGCAGGCCGCGGCGCGGTCGCGCGCGTCGACGCCGGCGATCTTCAGGCCCTCGCCGACGGGCGCGCGGAGCGCGGACGCGGCCGCGGGGGGCCGCTCGGCGGCGAGCGCGACGCGGCGCCGGTGCGCGGCCTCGTTGAGCTTCATGAGCGACCGGCAGGCCTTGCCCGCGACGCCCTTCCCGAAGGCCTTGACGAGGTCGCGGTCCGTCGACGTCTCGAGGCGCGCCGCGAGGCGCTCGCCCGCGCGCTTCGCCGCGCCCGCCGCGCCGCCGTCGTCGCGGATCGCGCCCGGCGCGCGCGCGCTCCGCGCGGCCGCCGCGAGCGCCTCGCAGTCCTCCATCAGCGCGCGGAGCCGCCGGTCGAGCGCCGTCCGCTCGTCCCGGAGCTTCGCTCGCCGCCGCCGCTCGCCGCCGGCGGCCTCGTAGGCGCCGTCGAAGACGCCGTGCGCCGCCTCGCTCCGCCAGGCGCGGACCCTGACGAGCCACGCCTGCGTCGCGACGAGCGCCGCGACCCACGCGTCGCGCGCCTCGGGCGCGGCGCACGCGAGGCGCACGCGCGCGCCGGACGCGGTCTCGATGCGCAGCGCGTGGCGCCGGCCCTCGCTCTGGTCGCCGACGACGACGTGGGCGTTCGCGTCGACGACGTAGGTCGCGACCTGCGCGTGGACATCAAATCTTCAACCCGACTTCAATGTGAGCGTATTGACGCAAGCTCTTCGGCTCTGCTTCGAGAACTCGACGAGAGCGATCGATTCGTCCAAAAATCAGCCGAATCGACTTCGATGTGACCGAGCTAGAGAATTTCAAAGTTTGGTCGGGACGTCCCGAACCAGTGGTCGATTTCCACACAGGTCGCGACGTGGGGCCCCGGGCCGCCGCCCTCCGCGACCTCGAAGAGCTTGAGCTTGCCCGCGACGAGCGTCGCCTCGCGGTCGCGCCACGACCCGCCGCGCTTGCTCCCCTTGCGCTGGTACACGGGGCCCGCGTGGTCCTTGGGCGGCGGCACGGCCGCGCAGCGCTTCGCGTTGAAGTGGGAGCACTTGGGCACGCCGCACGACGCGCAGTGCCAGAAGCCGGCGACGGCGTGCTCGACGAAGATTTCGCAGGACCGCGCGTCGCCGAACGGTTGCGAGCCGTAGAGCGATTTTGAGGACTTGCTCGAGATGAGCTTCGGGGGCGGTCCCTGGCGGCTCCGCGTGCTCGCCACGGCCCCGGTCGTCGCGGAAGTTCCACAGCAGGCCATGCTCTCGTACTCGATCGATCGATCTGTCCCGGTCGTCGCCGTTTTCCACACTCAGGTAACATCGGCCGCGGGCTCTTGAGGCAAAAGCTTATGGTTCTGCGCGTATCGAGTGTGCGCGCGCGACGCGTGGCGCACGCCGACGGCCGGAGACGATTGCAGCAGCATCGCTACGACGTGCGCGACGCGCGACGCGATTGGGGCGACCCCGTTCGACCAGGGGGCGGCGCGCGACGACTTGCAGGACGGCGACGCCATGAAGAGCACGCCGTCGAGCGCTGGCGCCGCGACCGCCGCGCGGCACCGCTTCGACACCTTCTCCAGCGTCCGCGGGACCGAGATGCCCCCCGCTCGGGGACACGGGGCGCCCCCGCGAGCGCCACTTCATTTTTTGGCAAAGAAACGAATGCTCGCACCCACATGACCTGGAAACGAATGCTCGCACCGAGAGAGGTCCCGCGCGCGCTGCGATCCAGGCGCGCAGGCCGCGCCGGCTCGAGCCATCGTGCTCGCCGGTGCGCCGGTTCGCGCACCTTGGCCTCTGGTCGAGTGCTGCGCATGCGCGCACTGCATGGCGATGCAGTGCGCATGCGCGCGGTCAGCGGACGCGCAAGCGATGCCTCGCCTGGCTCAACGGTACACGCCCCGAGGAGGCTCTCCTCTGCGTTTTCCCTCGTGAGAGGTCTTTTCCGCGCGGTTTCTCGAAAAAGAGTTTCCGCAAATCTACGCGCGTCGTCACTCCACGACGCGCAAGCTCACGTCGCCTGCCCTGAGGTTGGCCTTCGGGTCTGGGCAGAGTGCGCGACGTCCCGAGAGGCTCCGGGCGTTGGGCTCCCCGCCGGACTGGGGTCAGCAGCCCCGCCTGCTGCCCTGGCCGCGAAACCCCGTTCGGTCGACCGAGCGGGGGGACGCGGCAGGTCCGGAGGCTTACCCGGCGTCACTCGGCCACGAGGCAGCGAGAGCGCTGGACCAGCGCGCTCTTTGGGGTCCCTCACCCCGGACGTGGCGCGCCTAGGCGCTCCTCCCAGCGAGAGTCCGGTTCCCCCGTGGGTCTCGGCTAGGCCCGGGCTAGCAGTAAGCGACTCCAGTGAAGAGTAGACCCGAGGGGCAAGGAGTACCGTCCGAGGGCGCAGCCCGAGGACGGTGCGACGCAGCCTCGAGCGGTCTACTCTGAGTGGAGTCACCCTTCCGCCTCCTGCATTCTGCTGGTCATGTTTTCTCTCTGCCGTCGCTCTGTGAGGCGTCGTCGAAGTAGGGGCCCATCGTCGACCCCCCTTATTTTAAATCTTAACTCTAGTTATTCGTGATATATATCCTTCCGGCGTTGTGTTAAACGCATACGTATGCGGGATCGAGTGGCTGTGAGAGCTCAGAAGCGCACTGACAGCCGGTTCCCAACCCACCCCGCATGGCGGGCGACGAGGACTGGGCCCCGGGCCTGGTGCCGTGGGGCATGGAGCAGCCCTCCCCGGGCCCCTCCCCCTCTCGCCCGAGCGTGTCCGTGACGGACCGTGTCTCGAGCGCGCGCGAGAGCCTCGGGGGGCTCTCGCTCTTCGACGACGAGGACCTCGCGGACCTCGCGGGGTCCGACGACGGGCTCCTCGACTTCCCGGAGTTGCCCGTCGAGGAGACGTCCTTCGAGGACGCTCCAGCTGCTTCGAGGACGAAAAGGCTGAGGAAGCCGCGGACGCTCATGAACGTGTCCGACACCAGCGGCCGGAGGTACGCGTCCCAAGCCCCCCCCCCAGCCTCCCCACCCGCCCCGCGCGACATCTCCAAGGGCGTCGCGCCCGCGCGGGGCCGCGGGGCTGGGCCTCCCGGGGCGCGCCCCGCCGGCCGGCCGGCCGGCCGGCCGGCCGGCCGGGGCCGGGGCCGGTGCCGGGATCGTCTCGGCGCGCCACCGCCGCCACGACCTGTACCCGCTCCCCAGCCACCTGTACCCGCTCCCGCACCTCCACCACTCCCTCGGGGCGCTCCTCCTGCTGGGCGAGGGCGAGGAGCCCCTCCTCTTCCCCACCCTCGACCATCGCTTCCTCGCACCGATGCGCCCCGAGTTGAATCGGTCAAAAACGCCACTGGTGCGCCCACCCCCACCCCTCATCATACCTTTCACCACATCCCTCCCTCATAGGTCTGAACTCCTACGACTCTACGCTGAACAGAATTTTCTTTTCGGGCTACGACGGCGAGGACGTCGACCTGTTCCGCGTCGCATGCGAGGCCCAGGTCAAGGCCGAACTCCAAGCAGGCCGAGCTGTAGCGCCCGTTGACGCGCTCTACATGGTCAACCACGCAGAGCGCGTCTCCTGTTTAATCCTCTACATGCAGACGGCAACGTGCCTCGACAACCCATCCCGGATGTATGCCCCCACCGGCATCAAAAAAAATCTTGACTCCATTCAGTCATATCTACGGTCGGGCCAGCGTCCCCCTTTTTTTTACACTTTTTGACTTGAGAGTTCGCAACTTCGTGAAATCATCATGCCCATCGACTACTCGAGATTTGACCGAATTGGTGATTCTGAATCCGACGAAGAGGTCGAAGGACAGGCTCGCCTCCCGAAGGGATTGCAAGGGCTATCGGTCGAAGAATTATTGGATTACGCGAAGCGCCGCGAATCGCAAGCCGAAGCCGAGCGCGCGAACTCGAGCCCCCCCGACGCCGTCGAGCGCAAAGATGAACAGACCGCCGACGGCGTCGAGCGGGTGCCCCGTCGCCTGCGCTCGCTGTCCGGTATCCCGCAGTACGAGACGATGTACGCGGGCTATCTGGGCGGGCTCTTTGAGTCTAAAGGGTCGATGGAATTCGACGAGGCTACGGGCCTGCTTGCGACGATCAAACACGAGCCCGAGCATCCGTTCGGCGATCTGGTTTTGAGGAACGACCAGGCGAAAGCGTTTCTCGAAGAGCTGTACGACTCGTGTTGGATGAAGAAGCAACTGATCCAGATTGCCTTGGAGTGGTACGCGTCCTGGTCAAGTACATACGCACCATGAGCGGCGAAAATTGCTCGAGTAGTACCGCGGCGCGTAGATTAACAGCGCGCTGGCAGATGATCGCCGGCGGGGCTGCAGGAAGCCCTGGTTGCCCGCGGGCGCGGGGGGCAAACAAGCCAATGTTGAGGAGCAGTTGAGGAGCTGGCTCGGTCATCGACGTCTGGGAGCTCGTCGCCGCGCCCCGGCGCCCGCGGCTACCTGCGGCTTCGGGAGCGCCTGCGAGCCCACGGTCAACGGCATCATCGAGCCGCTGAGCATCGCGGGCTACTTCCGATGTCGGCGCTCGTGACGCCGGCGCCGGCGCCGAACGCCGAGGCCTACGACCTCTGGCACGCGGCGAGCCCGAGCAGTCGCCTCGACTTCCTCGACGGGCCGGGCATGCGGGGCCTCGCCGTGGCGCTGGCGTGCTACGACCCGCAGCTCGTGGACCTCGAGCGCCGCGGCGCGGCCGGCGGCCCGGGCTCGCCGGAGCGCGCGCGCATCGAGCGGCGCAACGAGGTCCTCGCGTGCGCGGAGCTCCCGCGGCTCTTCTACGCGGCGATGCGGGCGCGCGACGACGGGCGCGCGCGCGGCGACGTCGACGCGGCGCTCGCGGACCACGACTTCCCCGGCGGCGCCGGCGCGGGCGCGGCGCCCGGCGGGTCGTCGTTCTTCTCGGACCCGGAGCCTTGGCGCGTCGAGACGGCCTACGACCTCTGGCGGCGGCGCGACGCGGTGCGCGAGGTCGCGGAGTGGTGCGGCGCGCGGACGCTGCGCACGTCGAGCCGGAGGGGCTTCTCCGCGGCGGAGCAGAACGAGAACTACTCGCTCGACAACCACCGGTCCATGGCCCGGGACCGCGCGCGCGTCGCGGGCTACGCGGGCGCGCTCCGCCGCGCGGCTTCGCGCGGCGGCCGCGCGCTCGACGTGGGCTCCGGGCCCTTCTGCCTCCTCGCGCGCCTCGCCCTCGCCGCGGGCGCCGACGAGGCCGTCGCCGTCGAGGCGAGCGGCCGAGCGGTCGCGGAGGCGCGGCGCTACTGCGACGACGAGGCCGCGGGCGGGCGCGCGCTCGCGCGCGAGCTGGAGAAGACCGCCGCGGCGCGCTGGGGCCGCGACGCCGCCGCCGCGGCGCCGCCGCGGGTGACGCGCGTCGACGCGACGGCGTCCGGCTTCGTCGCGGCGCTCGGGCGCGGGAAGACGCTCGAGGTCGTCGGGGGCCCGAGCGGCGGCGCGGCGCTCGCGGGCCGGCCCTTCGACGTCGTCGTCCACGAGATCCTGGGCCACGTCGCGTCGGCCGAGGGCGCCTGCCGCGCGATCCACGACCTCCGGAGCCGGGGCAAGTGCGCGCCGGGCTGCGCGTTCGTGCCGCGGCGCGCGGCGACGATGCTCGCGCCGACGTTCAAGCTCGACGCCACGGCGCTGGACGGCGTCGTGCACCGCGCGCTCAACGGCCACCGGACGCTGCGCAAAGACGTCAAGTACCACTGCCGCCGCTTCCCCCGCGCGTACCTCGCGGCCCCCGCCAAGCCGCTCGAGGTGCTCCGCTTCGACGCGCCGCGCGTCGACGACCTGCTCGCGCCCCAGGCGAAGACGCTCAAGTTCGACGTCTCGGGCGAGGGCGTCGTCGACGGCTTCCACCTCCACCTCGCCGTCGACCTCGACGACGCCGCGGCCATCGACACGCACGACCGGCTGACGTCGTGGTCGACGACCTACGTCCGCCTCTGCGACGAGGCCGACGGCGACGGCGCGAGCCGGAACCCGCCCGTGGCGCGCGGCGACGCGGTCCTCGCGAAGACGCGCGTCGTCTTCGACCGGGACCGGCCGTCCTACACCGTCCGCCTCGACATCCTGCGGAGCGACGGCTCCCGCACGTTCGTGGGCGAGTACGCCTGGGACGGCTGCGGGCCCTAAATTCGACTCTTTTTCTAAAATCCGGCGTAGCCAAGTGCGTAGCCGCTGCCGTTAGAGTAGCGTCGAAGCAGGCCTCGAAGCGATACGAGTGCACCTAAAGCTTCGAGGTCGATGATGCTGGCGAGCGGCCGCCGGCCTGCTCGACCAACGTCGCGTCGTCGCGGTTGTTGGAGCGCGCGCGTATCTCGCGTCGACCGCGCCCCATGGCGGAGGCCGTTGTGGCGTGTTCGCAGCGTCCGGTCGGGGTCGCCTCGACGCGCGCACGACGCGCGCGCGCGTCGACGCGCGCGCGTCGCCGACGGTTTCTCGGGGGCTCGGAAGCCTTATGCGCCGCCGCGCGCCGCGCCGTCGCGGCTCCTTACCCCGCCCCTCGCGCCTAGGTGAAGATGGACAGCGTCGAGCTCGGCGTCGAGGAGGAGGAGGCGCCGGACGCGTCGTCGCCGCGCGCGAACCCGTGCGACGCGCTCACGAATTTGGTACAGCCCGACGGCGCGGCGATGCGGCTCGTCTCCCGGCTCGGCGGCGCCGCGGCGCGCGTGCGCGGCGCCTTCGCGGCGCCGGCCCTGGGCCGCGACTACGCGCTCGTCGAGGTCGTCGGCTGCGAGGTCGCGGCGGCGGCCGAGGCGGGCAAGTTCGAGCTCAAGGCGCGCGCGCGCTTCGACGGCTGCGGCCTCGAGCTCGCCGTCGGCGGCGGTAGCCTCGTGCGGTCCGCGCGCGACTTCGAGTGGCTCCGGGCGTGCCTGCGCGAGTCCTACGCGGGCTGCGTCGTGCCGCCCATCACGGCGGAGGTCTACGAGCCGTCCGGCGGCGTCGGGTCCGCCGCGGACGCGCTCGAGCGCTTCCTCGGCCAGTGCCTCGCCCACGGCGAGCTCCACAAGGCGCCGGAGCTGAGCTGCTTCTGCGTCAGCGACGCGGCGGAGCTCGACGGCGCCAAGGCCGCCTTCGGCGCGGCCGCGGCCGCCGCGCGGAGCCCCTACCACGTGCGCCTCGGCGCCGTCGTCCTCGACGTCGTCGGCAACGACACGCCCGTGGGCGCCGAGGACCTCGAGGGGTCGCCCGCGGAGCTCGCGGCGGCGAAGCGCAAGGAGAAGGACGTCCGCGAGCTCTACGCGTGGGCCAAGGAGCAGGTCTTCGCGATCGGCAAGGCCGAGAAGGACGCTTACTCGGGCGCGCGCGCGCTCCGGGCCTTCGACGAGGCGTCGTCGAAGACGCGCAGTGCGCTCGCGAGCCGCTTCGCCGACGAGCCCAAGCAGGGCGAGCTCCCCGGCGGCGGCGGGTCCGCCGCGTCGACGTCCGGCCCCGCGCGGGCCCTCGCCGCGCTCCGCGAGATGGTCGGCCTCGCCAAGGCGCTCACGGAGGCCGTCGAGGACCGCGACCGCGTGCGCCTCCAGTACGTCGCCGCGAAGAACGGGCTCGCGCTCAACCGCAAGTCGCGCGACGCGCGCGAGGCCATGCTCTCCGCGTCGGAGAGCCAGGCGAAGACGGCCGACGAGCTCATGGAGGCCGCGGCCGTCGCCGAGCCCGCGGCGGCCGCACCGGCGCCCGCGGCGGCGCCGCCGGCGCCCCCCGCGGAGGCCGCACCGGCGCCCGCGGCGAGCCCGGAGACCGAGGACCCGAGCTCCGGCGACGACGGCTCGCGGGGCGCGCGCGCGCTCCTCGCGTACGGCGCGCTCCGCGCCAAGGTCGTCGCCGCGACGACGACGGCCTACGCCAAGGTCGCGGACCTCCACCTCCTCGACAAGCTCCCCGAGCGCGAGCGCGTCGCCGCGCTCGCGCGCAAGGGCGCGACCGTCGCCGCCGCGCTCGGCTCGCGCGTCGTCTCCACGGCGGCGCTCGGCGCGGCGAAGATCTCGTCCGACGAGGCCGACGTCGAGCGCTACGAGAAGCTCATCGCCGACCTCGGCGAGGCCTTCGCCGTCGCCGACGCGCGGCTCCAGACCGACGCGCCCAAGCTCAAGAAGAAGTGGGACGACCTCCAGATCGACGCCTACAGCGCCTTCGTCCGCGGCGAGGCGAGCCGCGCCGACGGCGTCCGCGCCGCCGCCGACGGCGCGGCCCTCCAGCTCGTCAACATGAAGGTCGCCCAGCAGAACGACGCCGGCGACCAGGTCCAGGTCTGAGCGCCGGCCGACGCCCTCCCGCCCCCCCCCGCCCCTCCCAAGACCCCCGCGCATGTAACCGCACGCTCCTCGAGCGAGCGCGAGCGCGCCGCCGTCCGGCGGTCGCGTCGCGCGCGGCGAGGCACGCTTGCATCGTGTCTCGCGTTAAGTTAGGTGGGCGCCGCCGAGCTCAGGCGAAGCCCGGGGGCGGCGGCGGCGGCGGCGTCGGCGCGCCCCCGCGCAGGCCGTCGAAGTCGCGGTCCTTGGCGACTTTGACGACGGCGTCGTCGCCGTCGCGGAACCCGGGCTTCAGGGGCAGCGCGGGCCCGACGTCGCCGCTGGCGCGCAGGTCCGCGAGGATGGACCGCCAGAGGTCCGACTTGGCGCCGAGGAGCGACGCGTTGCCGAAGACGAAGAGGCCGCTCCGCGCGCGCGTGAGCGACACGCACGCGCGGTTCGACACGGCGAGGAAGCCGACCGTCGCGCCGCCGCGGTCGCGCTTCGTCGCGTTGGCGCCGCGGCCGTCGTTGCGCACGAGGCTCAGGAGGATGACGTCGTTCTCCTCGCCCTGGAAGTTGTCGACCGACGACACGCGGACGTCGTCGAGCCCCCGCGCGGCGAGCGACCGCTTCAGCAGGCCGACCTGGGCGACGTAGGTCGCGAGCACCGTGACCCGGTCCGGTCCGTAGCGCGGCGCGCCGAGCACGAGGTACTCGGCGAGCCGCGCGACGAGCGCCGCCTCGCCGGCGTTCGACTTGGACCTGGGCAGGACAAGAGAGATTCAACGTCGCTTCAACGTGAGTGTTCCGCGCGCGCGTTCCGGGAAAAGCATCCACGCTTCGAGACCGTTCCGAGAGATGATCGCCCGTCCAAAAATCAGCCGAAACGAGTGGAAAACGGCCGAGATATGAGCCTTTCAAGTTGGGAATTTCGCTCTCTTGTCCTGCCCTGACTTGGACGCGTCGCCCTGCTCGGCCATCGCGTGGTCGAGGAAGAAGACGTTCCGCGCGACGCCGCGCACGAGCGGCAGGTCGCCCGTCGACGGGTGGTCCGCGAGTTTCGGGTAGATGGACCGCACGAGCCGCGAGATGTTGGGCCGCATGCGCCGCTGGCTCGCGAGCGTCACGTGGTCGACGCCGTTCTTCACGAGGCGCTCGAAGAGCGACACGTCGAGGTTGTAGCGCGTCGCGAGGCGAAACACGGCCGTGCCGGGCCGCAGCTGCTCGTGGTCGCCGATGAGCACGAGCTGCCGCGTGTGGCGGCCCAGCGCCGCGAGCACGTGCGCCTCGAGCACCTCCGCGGCCTCCTCCACCACCACGACCTCGGGCTCGACGACGGCCAGGAGCTCGCGGCGCTTCGCGACGGCCGTCGTCGTCAGCCCGATGACGCGCGCGCCCCGCAGCGCCTCGGCGTCGACGTCGCGGTCCAGGCGGTCGAGCTCGCGCCGCGACCGGTCCAAACGGTCGCGGACCGACGCCAAACCGGCGACGGCGTCGTCGTAGAGCGCGGCCGCCCATTGGAGGAAGAGGAGCCGCCGCTCCGGCGTCGGCAGCGCCCAGACGTCGTCCCGGTCCCCGGCGTCGCGGCGCGGCGCCCGGGCCGCGTAGCGCGGCGCGAGCGCGGGCGGCGACGCGACGCGGAAGACGCGCTCCGCGCGGCGGTCGGGCTTGCCGTCCGGGCCGTCCTCGCGCTCGTCGGCGCGCACGGCCGCGGCGTTTAACGCGTCGGGGTCGTCCTTCAGCGGCGCGTCGCCGTCGGCGCCGGCGTCGGCCCGGGGCTCGGCCCGCTTCGGCGCGCCGAGGAGCGCCGCCGGCGCGACGCCGAGCCACGCCTCGAAGACGCAGCCGTCGACGGGCCGCCCGTAGAGGCTCCGCAGCTGGCGCGGCGTCGCCAGGTCCTCGAGGTCGTCGACGCCCGGGCCCCGCGTCGCCGCCTCCCTGGCGTCCTCCGCGAGGCGCGCCGCGGTCTCCTCGAGCTCCCGCAGCCGCGCGAGCAGGCTCCGGCGCGCGCGGACGTGGACGGCGCCGAACATGGACCCGTCGCTGCACTTCTTGTCGAGCTCGCGCAGCTCCGCGGCCTTGTCCCGCAGGTTGTGGTCCGCGAGCTTCTCGGACTTGGACCGGCCGCCGACGCGGATCACGTTCGGCTCGAACTCGAGCACGCCCTCGAGGAACGCGTCCAGGGCGTGGTTCGTGTAGCACACGACGAGCAGCGGCTTCCCCCGCGCCCCCGCGCCGTTGAGCAGCAGGTGGCGCGCGATGGCGAGGCCCACGTGCGTCTTGCCCGTGCCCGGCGGGCCCTGGACGACGGCGAGCGACCGCGTGAGCCCGTGCTTGAGCGCGTCGAGCTGCGACGCGTCGAGCGTGCCGAGCGTCGCCGGCCACGACGCGTCGTCTAAGACGTCCTCGACCCGCGCCGCGGCGCCGTCGACGCGCAGGTCGTAGCTCTGGCCCCTCCGCAGGTACGTCGGGCGCGGCGACGTCTTCGGCAGCTCCAGCAGCGTCCGCAGCAGGCCGTTCGACGAAAAAGCTTCTAAATCCAGGGACTGGAGGCTCGCCAGGACCCAGCGGTAGGCCTCGAAGTAGGTCGCGCAGCAGTCGATGACGGCGTAGGCGCCGCCAAATACCAACGCCTCGCCGTCGTCGTCGAGGCGCGCGTGGACGCGGAGCTTGCCCTTGTCGCAGCGCGTCTCCGCGACGACGCCGCAGGTCCAGGCGCGGTCGCCCAGCGTCGCCGCGTCGACGACGACGACGAGGCCGCCGCCCATGAGCCGGCTCTTGTTCATCGCGTCGCCCGCGCGCGACCACCGCGTCTTCCGCCACGGCTCGCGGCCCGCGTCGCACTCGAGCACGCTCAGCAGGCCGCTCCGCGACGGCGCCACGCCCACGAGGCGCGCGTCCCGGTAGACGTCGACGTCCCGCGACGCCTCGCCGCGCCGCGCGGCGCGCACGCCGTCGCGGAGCGGGCCCACGAAGTCCGCGCGGAGCAGCTTGAAGTGCGTCCGCACGTAGCACTCCGCGGTCTGCGACCCGCTGACCTGATTCGGCGCGAGGTCGTCGCCGCCGTCGCCGAGCACGTCGTCCCGCGACGGGAAGAGCTTGAGGTAGCGGTAGTCGTCGCCGCCCGCGGCGTCGTCGAGGCGCGCGGCGTCCGCGCGGAGGCTCGCGCCGCGGTCGACGACGCGCTTCGCGGCGCCGAGCGCCTCCCTCCAGGCCGGCGCCTTGTCGCGGCGCCGGTCCGCGACGAGGTCCTCCAGCGCCAGCAGGAGGTCGGCCAGCGCCACGTAGGCCGACCGGTCCCGGTCGAGGCACGCGGACACGACGCCCGCGACGGCGCCGACGGCCGCGGCGTCGTCCGGCGACGCGCCCTGGGACTTCCCGGGCGGCTTCCCCTTGGGCGGCCGCTTCTCCGTGCCCGCCTTGAGCAGTAGAGCCCGCGCCATCTTCGGCGACAGCAGAAGCGGCGACGCGAGGCACGCGTCGTAGACCGGGCCCGCGCCCGCCTGCGCCAGCTCGACGAGCTCCGGGTCCGCGAGCGCGCGGAGGAACGCCGCGACGCCGACGAGGGGCCAGTCGTCGCGCCGCAGGGCGTCGAGCACCTCGTCCTGGCGCAGCACGACGCCGTCGGCGCCGCGATCCGCGAGGCCCACGGCCCACCGCGTCGCCTCCGTGACGTCGCACCTGGGCAGGAAAAGGGTGCGAAATTCCCAACTTCAAAGGCTCCTATCTCGGTCGTTTTCCGCTCGTTTCGGCTGATTTTTGGACGAGCGATCATCTCTCGGAGAGCTCTCGAAGCGTGGGTGCTGTTTCCGAAACGCGCGCGCGCGGAACACTCACGTTGAAGCGACGTTGAATCACCCTTTTCCTGCCCTGCGTCGCACGCCGCGAGCCGGCTCCCCGCGCGCTCGACGGCCGCGCCGTCGTGGACCCGGAGGTTGGTGAGCACGCTGTCGACGTGGCCGTAGCGGCCCGGGTCCGCCTCCGTCGTGCGCACGAGGTCGAGCTCCACGTGGAACGCGCGCTTGCCGAACTTGCCGTCGTCGGGCGCGTCCGACGCCGCGAACGTCACGTCGTCGTTCTCCCGCAGCCGGCTCGCGTCGCAGTCGCAGTCCTCGAAGCGGAAGTAGAGGGGGCGCTCGCCGCGCTCCGCCGGCGCCTCGCGCTTGATGAAGCCGTACTTCTCCGCCTTCTTCAGCGCGACGACGCGGCCGCGCTCGCGCGCGGCGCCGACGGCGTCGCTGCTGCCGCCGCCCCCGGCGCCGCCGCCGCCGCCGGTCTTCTTGCCCCCGGGGCCAAGGGTCCGCCGCCCGCCGGGGCCCAGCACGCGCCGCGGCGGCATGCGCGGGCGCGGCTCAGGCCGCGGGCAGCGGCGGCGAGCGAGGGCGTCTGCGGGCTGCGACGCGCCGACGAACTGCGGGGGTTCGCTGCAAGATGGATGCGGTTCCGGTTGCGCGTGGCGGAGGAGCCGTCGAGGATCACCCTGGACACGCTGGTTTCGCGGTGGGAGGGTCTCGTGTGTGTATTAAATCTCAAGCAAGCATCGTGCGCGATTGCCGGACTCGGCTGCGTCAAAAGGCGATGGTTGCCTGACCTTGCATTTCACGATGCTTGATGCAGCTCGGGTGGCAGCATGCTCGGTGCTCGACGGGTGCAGCGCGCAACTCGAGGGCAATCTCTCGGACACGCAGCTCGGTAGGCGGCAGCATGGTGCTCGACCGCTGCAGCGCGCAGCCCGAGGGCGGCCTCTGAAGGCACGCAGCCTCTGAAGGCGGCAGCATGGTGCTCGACGGCTGCAGCGCGCAGCCCGAGGGCGTCGACGACGACCGGCTCGGCGTGCTCCTGAATTACGTTTGCAGCGCGGCGCTGCTCGCGGCGGCGTGCGCCCTCGTCCGCCGCTACGGCCGCCGGGGCCTCCGCGGCGCTTTGACGGAGCTCGGCATGTCGCTGGGCTACCTCCTTGGCGGCCTCGTGCACGACCGCTTCCCGAATCGCGCCGTGCGCGACGTCTGCGCGCACCGCGCTTTCTATCCGACGTTCGCCGCGAGCTACGCCGCGATGATCGCGAGCGCCTGGGCCTGGTCCGGCGCCGACGCGCCGGCCTCGCCGCCGCGGACGACGCTCGGCGCGCGGGCGCTCCTGGCCACACGTGCAGCGTTGCTGGCGAGCGCGCTGCTCATCGTCGGCGGCGCGCTCACGTGCCAGGCCGGCGGCGCGACGCTCGTCGACGACAAAATCGACGACTGCAGCGCGGGCCACCCAAAATGCGACGCGGTCATGCTCGGCGGGGAGGGCCTCTTCTACGTCGCGTGGATCTTCGCCTGGGCCGTCGCCGCGGCGCGCGTCGCGCCGCGGCTCAAGGGGCCCTGGGCGCGACGGCACAACGCCGCGTCCGTGGGCTGGCTCCTGCTGGGCCCGGGCCAGATCTACTTCGTCTGCGCCCTGCCGCTGGCGCTCCACCCGGGCGACGCGGACGCGGCGGGCGCGGCGTCCATGCGCTGGTACTGCGCGCTCCGCACGGGCGTGACCTACATCCTCGCCGTGCTCCTGAGCCACCTCTCCACGTCCGGAGTCCGCGGTCTCGAGCCACCTCCTCGCGCGCGCCGACGTCGCCTACGAGCCCGTCGCCGCGGAGCTCGGGCCCATAGAAAGCGGCGTTTAGCGGCAACCGAGCGTGTCGTCGATTAAGTCGTCGAAGGCCCGCTTAGTCGAACGTAGTCGACGGTAACTTTGCTTCATCTTGAAAGTGAGGTGATTTGGTCGGCCAGCGATGAGTGGCCCTCTGCTTGCCGCTGCAGCTCACTAGCGCACCCGTTGCCCCGCGCAGCGCTGGGAGCAGCTCACTAGTCGCCGCCGCAGCTCACTCGTCGCTCCCGCTTGCACCGGCATGGCGAAGAAGCAGCGGCGGCCGCCGGCGCGCAATGGCGGCGGCGCGGGCAAGAAGGCCAAGGTCGGCGGGCGCGAGGCGCTGGAGCAGGAGGCCCGCGCGACGTTCTTCGGCGGCGAGGAGGACGAGGAGATCTCGTCGAGCGACTCCGAGGCCGAGGGCGAGCGCGACCGCGGCGGCGACGGCGGCGAGGAGGAGACCGTCGAGCAGGCGCGCATGAGGTACGCGCAAAAGTATTTGGAGGAGGCGCGCGCCGACGAGCGCGCCGCGAAGAAGAAGCAGGGCTACCGCTACGACGAGAAGCGCGACGTCCTCGACGAGGACGACGACGACGACGACGACGACGACGACGACGGCGACGACGGCGGCGACGACGACTCCGAGGACGGCCGCGTCGGCGCGCGGCTCCGGGCCGCGCGCGAGGCCGAGGCCGCGTCGGCCTTCGAGCGCCTCGGCGCGCGCCTCGAGGCCCTGGGCTTCGACGGCGACGTCGCCGCGAGCCGGAAGACCGTGCTCGCCGGGCACCGGGGCCCCGTGACGTGCGTCGCGATCTGCGAGTCCTCCGGCCAGGTCTGGTCCGGGTCCAAGGACAACGCGCTGCTGCTCCACGACGCGGCCACGGGCGCGCGCGTCCGCACGCTGCTCCCGCGCTGGCCCCAGCGCGCGTCGGAGGACGTCGAGCACGCGCGGGCCCAGGCGAAGCGCGGCGGCGCGCGGCGGACCGACGGCGCGTTCGACGACGGCGACGGCGGCGCCCCCCCGGGGAACCTCGCGCCGCGCCAGGCGCGCGAGGCCGAGGTCCTCGCCGTCGCCTGCAGCGCCGACGGCCGGTACGCGGCGACGGCGGGCTCCGACGGCCTCGTCCACGTCTGGGACGCGCGGAGCGCGCGGCTCGCGCACAGCCTCCGGGGCCACAAGGGCCGCGTGACGTGCCTCGCGTTCCGCGACGACGCGCACGCGCGCCTCGGCGGCGGCGACGACGACGGCCTCGGCGGCGGCGACGCGTCGTCGCAGCTCTTCTCCGGCGGCGACGACGGCAGCGTGAAGCACTGGGGCGCCAAGGCCGGCGCGTACGTCGAGACGCTCTTCGGCCACGAGGCGCCCGTCGCGGCGCTGGACTGCGCCTACGAGGAGAAGCCGCTGAGCGGCGGCCGGGACCGCACGGCGCGCTGCTGGAAGATCCGCGACGAGTCGCACCTCGTCTACCGGAGCCCGACGGCCGGCGGCCTCGGCTCGTCCGTCGACGCGTGCCGCGTGCTCGACCGGGACCGGTTCCTCACGGGCGGCGACGACGGCGCGCTGTCGCTCTGGAGCGCGCGCCGCAAGAAGCCCGTCGTCTCCGTCAAGCGCGCGCACGGCGCGGGCGCCGCGGCGCAGGCGCTCGGCGCCGCGGCGGCCGGCGACGTCTCCGCGCACGTGCCCCGCTGGCTCCAGAGCGTCGCGGCGCCGCGCCACGCCGACGTCGTCGCCTCGGGCTCCTGCGACGGCGCCGTGCGCCTCTGGACCGTCGACGACAAGGACGCGGCGAAGCAGGTCCTCGAGCCCTTCGCGGCGCTGCCCCAGCTCGGCTTCGTCAACGGCCTCGCCGCGCCGCGCGACGCCGCGTTCCTCGCGGCCGCCGTCGCCAAGGAGCCGCGCCTCGGCCGCTGGGAGAAGGTCGCCAAGGCGAAGAACTGCGTCGTCCTCTACCCGCTCCTCAACAGCGGCTCGGCGCTCTAGGGCGTTAACACATCTCTTCGGCCTAGTAGCCGCCGCAAACATCTCGTCGGCCTAGTAGCCGCCGCGCTCGACTACGTCGTCTAGTAGAGTCGTCAAGCTGCCACGCTCTCGAGCTCCATCGATTCAACACAGCTTCAAGCACCTTTTTCGAAATTGGGATCGATCGATTTGGGACGAGCCAACCCCGCGCCCGCGCTCTGCTCCTCTGCCCGGCGCCCGCCGAGATACGGGGCCGTCATGGTCATCACCGCTACCCACGACCACATCAAGCAAGACTTGCTCGTGAAGTTCGGCACGTCGCAGCTCGACTGGCGAAACCGTCCGCCGTGGAACCCGACAGTGTGGCTCGCGACCCAACAGCAGAAACGCGCGCTGATGAGCCAGGCCGTCGTCAAGGACGTTCGGAGCGCCGTGCAGGCGTCATGCACGAACCAGGACTACTACAATGGCAACCCCGAGGACTGGGACTGGGACAGCCGCAACGGCAGCTCGGTGATCGGACTGCTCTGGGCCGTCGGCAAGGACGGCGTCCCCCAGCACGTCCTTGTATGGCAGAAACGCCTCCACTACCTCTACCAGCTCCACATGAAATACATGAGCTCTTTCGCCCTCCGCACGGCGCGGTACGCCTTCCTCGGTAAGGGGCTCGACGTCTACGGCGACTACGCCGTCTGCGTCGCGGACGCGCCCTACGAGTCCTGCTGCGAGGCCGGCGGCTACACCGCCATGGTGCTCGCGCTCGGGCCCGAGCGGATGTCCTTCGCGGTCCAGATGCCGATCGGCATCGCGATCATGACCGCGGACGTGCGACAGGCGCTCGTCCACGTCGCTCGCCACCTGACCGGCGGCGACAAGGAGCGCGTCGAGCGTTGCCTGAACGCCAAAGATGGCGCGCTCCTCGACGTGCCCGTGCCGAACGACGAGGTCCGCGAGGCGCACAAGCGCGCGACCAAGGACGCCCTGGACCGCTGCTCCGGCGAGAAGCGGAAGAACTGGGAGGCCCAATTGTTCGGTGCCTCGCGGGAGGGGTGGTCGCAGAAGAAGAAGGACGCGGCGGACGGCCTTGGCGGCTTCGCCGGCCTCGACCAGACGGAGGCGCAGGAGTACGGCCGCGAGATACCGCGGCGGGGCCACCAGGCCGCCAACGTCCTCATCGAGCACGTGAAATCCGGCGGCACGCGGACCTACGACAAGGACGGCTGCACATACAAAATACACGGACGGCACCCCTTCATCATCGCCGACGGCGCGCCCCAGAAGGACGGCCTCTACACGGGCAAGGTGGGAACGCGCAAGAACGACTTCCGCGTCAACATCGAATGCGACGGCATCATCACTCCTACCATCTGCTACTACGTCGCCGAGGACCTCGGCCTGCTCCAGCCTACCTTCAAGCTCAAGCGCAAGATCCGCGACATGACCGTCGACAAATTGAAGCGCGAGTGCAAGACGTTGAAGATCGACATCGACGGCATGAAGAAGGACGCTCTCCGGCAGCTCCTCTACGACGGCATGCGCGATCCCTGGTCCCACAATGGCAGCAAGTATTTCGACGGCGCGGTGTGCCCCCAACTCCGCAAATGCAAGCAGCGCAAGCAGCGCTCCGACGCCGGCGTCCCTCGAGGCGGCGGCCGCAGCAAGCACGAGTCGTCGAGCGACGAGTCGTCGTCGAGCGACGAGTCGTCGTCGAGCGACGAGTCGTCGAGCGACGAGAGCGTCGAGTACGACGAGCGCAAGGTCGCGCGCATGAACTCGCGGCTCAAGGGCGTCGAGTTCGCGGACGACACGGGCGACATGTGGACGGTCTTTCTCGTGAGCTTCGACGCGGAGCACGAGAAGATGGTCTGCTTCTACTACGACGCGGCGCTCTGCGACTCGGACGACGTCACGGTCGAGGACTGCGAGTACAGCGGCGCCGACGAGGTCCTCAAGTGGATCTCGGCCCACCAGAAGCCCCACAAGCGCCGCTAGAAGCGCAAGCGCGACGCGCTCGCAGCGCCCTAATACACGTGGCTGCCGGTCCAGAGAGTCGCGCGTCGCGAGGACTAGTAAGCCACTCGCTCCTTACGAAGCCCCGGCGGCCTTGTCCTGCTCCGCCGCGACGACGATGTGCGCTCGCCAAGCCCTGCCACAAAGTTTGCCCGAGCCAAGCGTTTGCTCGGCCGCTCGTGCACGATGGACGTCGACGCCAAGGATGCGGCGCCGGCGATGAGCGGCCCGCTGGTCGCGCTGACGGTCTTCGCCGTGCTCGGCGGGTTCCTCTTCGGCTACGACACGGGCGTCGTCTCCGGCGCCGAGGTGTTCATCAAGGAGGACCTCAACCTCAGCGACGGCCAGGTCGAGGTCGTCGTGAGCATCACCGTGCTCTTCGCGGCGCTGGGGTCCCTCGTTTCCGGCCCGCCGATGCAGAAACGCGGGCGCAAGCCCGTCATCATGGTCGCGGCGTGCTTCTACGCCGGGGGCTCGGCGACGATCGCGGCCGCGCCGGGCTTCGGCGTCCTCGTGCTGGGCCGCGTGCTGCTGGGCCTCGGCGTGGGCCTGTCGTCCATGGCGATCCCCGTCTACGTCGCCGAGGCCGCGCCGCCGGAGATCCGCGGCCGCCTCGTGAGCTTCTACAACCTGTTCATCGTGCTGGGGCAGGCCGCGGCGTGCGGCGTCAACGTCTGGGCCGCCGCGGCGCTCGGCGTGTCCGCGCGGTGGCGCGCGTCCATGGGCGCCGCCGCCGCGCCCGCGCTGCTGCAGCTCGCGGGGTTCTGCTTCCTGCCGGAGAGCCCGCGCTGGCTCGCGCAGCGCGGCGACGTCGCCGGCGCGCGGGCCGTGCTGCGGCGGCTCCGGGGCGCGTCCGCGAGCGACGCGCGCGTCGACGCGGACCTGGGCAGCGTCAACGCCATGGCGCCCGAGGACATCGGCGACGTGCGGTCGACGCTCGAAGAGATCCGCGCGTCGCCGCACCTCCGGCGCATCTTCGGCGTCGGCCTGGGGCTCATGGCGCTGCAGCAGTTCTCGGGCGTCAACACGATCATGTACTACGGCGCGTCCATCATGATCATGTGCGGCTTCGAAGAAACCCAATCCGTCCAGCTCGCCGCGGCCCTCGCCGTCGCCCAGGGCCTCGGCATTCTGTGCTCCCTGCCGCTCTGGGAGCGGCTCGGCCGGCGGCGGCTGCTCGTGCCGTCGACCCTCGCGTCCGCGACGTGCCTGCTCGTCGTCGCCGCGGCCTTCGCGCGGGGCATCTCGGCGCCGGCGAACCACTTCGCGGCCCTCGGCGGCGTCTTCTGCTACCTCCTGGCCTTTGGGCTGGGCCTGAGCAGCGGGCCCTGGGTCGTGAACAGCGAGATCTACCCGACGCGCGTCCGCGGCGTCGGCAACTCCGCGGCGTGCTTCGTCAACTGGGCGGCGAACTACGTCGTGTCCGCGACGTTCCTCTCGGCCTGCCGCGCCTTCGGCAACGCCGCGACCTTCGCGGGCCTCGCCTTCGTCGGCTACGCCGGGGCTTTGTGGATCCACCGGAGCCTCCCGGAGACGAACGGCCTCACGCTCGAGGACATCGAGGACCTGTTCCGCCGGCGCTGCGCGGAGTCGAGCGGCGGCCGCACGCGCGTCCCCACGGACGAGCCCCCCGACGACCGGCCGCTCGACGACCGGCCGCTCGCCTAATCTTTCGACGGACGGAAGCGTGGACCCCCGAGCTTAGTCGGCCTTGGGCCCGTCCTTCTTCGCGTCCTCGGCGCCGTCGTCGGCGGAGCCGGCGACGAGGCGGCTCCGGTACTGCTCGATCATCTCGATCTGCTCGAGCTCGGCGTCGTCGAACTGGGCGTCGCCGCCGGCCTCGAGGTCGCACTGGCTCTCGAGCGCGCGCTTGAAGTCGAGCTCCTCGCGGTCGAGCTCGTGGCACACCTGGGCAGGAAAAGAGTGATTCAACATCGCTTCAACGTGAGTGTTCCGCGCGCGCGCGTTCCGGAAAAATCATCCACGCTTCGAGGCCGTTCCAAGAGATGATCGCTCGTCCAAAAATCAGCCGAAACGAGTGGAAAACGGCCGAGAGAGGAGCCTTTGATGTTGGGAATTTCGCACTGTGGCACACGCGCTCGTAGTTGTAGGTGCCCCCGCCGCGCCTGCATCTCCGGTAGCAGCGCTTGCAGAGGATGACGACGAGGGCCAGGGCCGCGAGGCCGCCGACGGCGAGGCTCGTCAGCTCGAGGAACTGCAGGGGCGTGAGCACCCGGTGGGCCAACGCGCTCGCGAGGTCGCCCATGGCGCCGTCCGCGCGACGGCGCGCGCTCGCGGCGTGCGGCGCCGCGGACGCGACGCGCTCGACGGAATGCGCGCGCGGCGTACGACGGCGCGGATGCGGTCGCGGTCGTCGGCGCGCGCGACGGCGGCGGCGGCGCGGACCAGCGGCGGCCAAGGACGCGCGAGGTTGGAATTGCCGCAAAGATTGAGTCAGCGACGGCTTGCGCAGCGGCGAGGGGACGGACCAGCGTGCAAACCAAAAAACATGCCCGTCGACTATAGCAAGTTCGACTCCATCGAGGACTCGGACGAGGAGCGCGAGAAGGAGACCAAGGTCACGAAAACGGCGGAAAAAAAAGCCGAGGCGCCCAAGGACCTCGTCTGCGCGAACTGCGGGCGCGCCGCGGAGAAGCTGAGCAAGTGCTCCGTGTGCAAGAAGGTGGGCTACTGCTCGGTGCGGTGCCAGCGCAGCGACTGGCAGTTCCACAAGCGCACGTGCAAGAAGCCACCGGCGGCCAAGGGCGACGCGAAGCGCGACGACGCGCCGTCGAAGCCCAAGCCCGCGCGGCCGCCGAGGAAGGCCGCCGTCGCCGAGTCGAGCGACGACGACGACGACGACGCGCCCATCACCTGGTACAAGCACCGCGAGACGAAGCTGCCCCCCTCGGCGGCGGGGCCGAGCAAGGTCGAGCCCGCGGCGGCGCCGCGGCCCGTCGCCGCGGCCGAGCCCGAGCGGCGCGCGTCGCAGGGCAGCGTGTGGAACACGGCGGGCACCTGGGAGGAGAAGGATGTGCTCGGCTGGGCGCGGACCTGGCTCGAGGCGTCGCTGCCGGGCCTGAGCCGCGATCTCCCGCGTCCCGCGAAACCGGCCGTCCGATCGAAACTCTCGAACTCGTCCCTCCCGACAGGCGACTTCGGCACGGGCGTGCTCCGGGTGACGGCCGTCGCCAAGGTCGAGGGCGACGCGTCCGTGGGCGTCATCCGCGGCCGCACGCGCCACATCTTCGACCTCGAGCTCGAGGTGCGATGGGAGGCGCGCCTCGGCGGCGACGAGACCAAGTACAAGGGCAAGCTCAAGTTCGCGGACGTGACGCACGACCTCGGCGGCGACGACGCGGACGCCATTCCCTGCCAGTGCCTCTTCACGGACGAGAAGAAGGCCGGCGCGGGCGCCGCGCGCATCAAGCAGCACGCGCTCGGGCCCAAGGCCGCCGTCGACCCGGCGCGCCTCGGCGCGACGCTCGCCGACGACGTCGTCGCGGAGCTCAAGGCCAAGTTCCTCCCGGCCTTCGGCGCGCTCTAGCCGCGATTTTAACGCCCGAGGCAGCTCGCGGTCGCTCCGCCCGCCCTCGCGTCTAGACGCAGGAGAAGCCCTGGTCCTTCTTCTCCCAGGCGACGACGAAGTCGGACCGCGGGTGGTGGCTCGACTCGAGGCGGAGCCCGCCGCCGCAGCCGCAGCCCGCGAGCGCGGCCGCGGGCGCCGCGGCGACGCCGCCGCGCTGCTGCTTGAAGTAGCGCCGCTCCGCGGCCGTGTCGAGGAGCTCCACGAGCCGGTCCATCATGGGGTCCCAGTAGCGGAACTCGTCGACGAAGGCGTCGCGCTCGAGCACGTGGACGAGCAGGAGCTTCGACTGGGGGTCGAGGAGCTGGCGGCTGCGCTTGACCTGCCAGCGGTAGAAGTTCGTGAACGTGAGGATCGGGTGGTGCTTCGGCAGCCCCAAATCGTGGAGCATGCCCTCCCAGAGCACCTCGACCTCGTGGAGCGTCGCGCCGATGCCCTTGATGCCGAAGGACGCCATGACGTCGCTCATCATGATGCAGTTCTGCAGGTCCACGCCGTGGATCTCGTGGTCGGTGCCGACCGCGTTGCGGATCGCGTGCTGCGCGGCGGTCCTCGCGCGGAGCACGCGCGCGATCCAGCCGCGGCGCGTGCGGAGGTCGCCCTTCTTCGCGGCGTCGACGACGTCCCGCAGGTGGAAGCCGTCGCTGACGAGGTGGACGTCGTCCTCCTCGAGCTGGAGCGCCTCCCCCAGGTGCCAGACGTGCGTCCCGCTCGCCGCGATGCCGTCGAAGACGAGCTGGAGCCGCACGGACGTCTCCTCGCTCCGCGCGACGGCGGCGCGCTCGCGCCGCTGCTCGGACAGGAGCTCGCGCGTGCTCTTCCGGGGGCTCGCGCCGCCGCCGCGCGAGAGCCCGCGGACGAGCGACTCCGACCGGTGCGCGGACTTGCGCTCGTGCATGACGAGCCGCGCGGGGTCCATGACGCACTTGGCCGTGGCCAGGCCCTGGCGTTGCAGCTCCGCGTCGTGGCGGATCTTCTCGACCGTGATGAAGGTCTCGTGGCTGAACCCCTGGGTGAAAACGGTGGCCTTCGCCGTCCCGCTCACCTCGTCGTCGGCGCGCGTGAACTCGCAGGCGCTGTGGCACATGCTGTCGTGGGTCGTGTGGCCCTTGGACCGGCTCCGGAAGAAGCCGAGCCGCGCGAAGAGCTTGTCCCGCACGCCCGCGGTCTTGTGCCTAGGCGACGGGGGTCGGCGTTCGTCTCGCGCGTCCCGGCGCGAAAAAAAACGGGTTTGTCCCTCGACGCCGCGACGCGTGCATGTACTCGGAGTAGTAGACCGTGTCCTTGAACTTGGGCGCCTGCCCGTGGCTGGCCGGCATGGCTTCGGCCACCTCGTGGGAGCTTAATTTGAGAGTGCAACACAGACGACCCGTATCCGACCATTTTCCCGTATCCGGCGGCTAATCGAGTACGAGGCAGCCCCGCACGATGAAGGTCGCCGTCGCATTCCTCGCCCTCGTGGCCGCGGCCAGCGGCGCCAAGCCCGTCGTGAACTCCCACTCGACGGAGGAGGGCCAGGCCATCGCCCAGGAGCTCCTCAACGACGCGATGAACAAAATGGGCCAGACGGCCGAGGGCGCGAAGAAGCTGGCCGCGGACCCCTCCCTCTACAAAAAATTCATCGCGGGCCAGAAGCCGGAGCGCAAGCTCGCGGCCGCCGTGCCCCGCGCCCACGCCGAGGGCAAGGCGACCATGCACGCCTACTCCCGCGAGCAGGGCCGCCTCAAGGGCGAGGAGGTCATCAAAGCGCGGCAGGCGCGCGAGAACCTCCGGGCGTCCTCCTAAACGTCCCCCTCGCGTCCGCCCCCGCTCCCCCGCCCCCCCGCCCCCCCGCGCCCCCGACGCGGACGGTTTCGTGACGACGGATGCCGCGCTCCCCGGCCGCGAGACGCGGCCGGACGCCCGGCGGCGCCGACGCCCCGAAGCCGCCGCGGACGAGCGATCCCGCGAGAAGGTCCCTGCCCTTGGGGCCTGAGTGTGCCGTCGAACACTCGCCTAACACATTTGACTACTTTCGATCGACGGCGGCGGGACGGCGGCGGCGGGACGGCGGCGGCGGCGGGACGGCGGCGGCGGCCGTTCGCCCGCGCCGCGGGGGTTTCTTCCGTTGGTGGCCCCGCCTTGGGGCGGCGAGCGCCGGAGTCGGCTGCGCGGCGTTGCGCTTCAGACGCGTCTGTCGTGCGGCCGCGTGCCGACGAGACCGCGTCGACGGCGCGCGGGCGGTGGGGACGGCATCCGACGGCAACACCGAAGTCCTCACCGAGTCCCTTGACTCTTCGGCCGCATCGCCATCTCCTGGTCGCGCCTCGCGCCGGCGCGCAGCGGTCGGCCGCGTCGCCATCTCCCGGTCGCGCCTCGCGCGCAGCAGCAGCGATGGCGCCGCGCCGCGCGAAGCCCACGGGCAAGCCGAGCTTCTTCAACGCGACGGCGCTGGAGAAGTTCGTCGTCGGCCGCGGCTTCCAGGCCGTCCACGCGTCGCGGCTCTGGCGCGTCGTCGTGCGCGCCCTGCGCGAGGTCGACGTGCCCGACGCGTCGACGCGGGGCGAGGCGCTCGAGCGGCTCGTCTGGGCCAAGGCGCTCGCGCTCTGCGCCGACGCGCGCCAGAAGCTGCCCCGGGCCGCGGTCGAGCTCGCGTCGCAGAATTTCCTCCTCTTCGCGTCGACGGCCGACGCCTTCGAGGAGTCCAAGGACGGCGACACGACGAAGCTCGTGCTGCGGCTGCGCGACGGCCACCGCGTCGAGGCCGTGGCCATGCGCCACGGGAGCCGGACGACGGTCTGCGTGTCGAGCCAGGTCGGCTGCGCGATGGGCTGCCAGTTCTGCGCGACGGGCACGATGGGCATCATCGGCGACCTCGACGCGTCGGAGATTCTAGAGCAGCTCGCGCACGTCACGTTGAACGAGTGCCGCCGGGGCCGGGCCGCGCCGCGGAACGTCGTCTTTATGGGCATGGGCGAGCCGCTGAACAACTACGCGGTCGTGCGGGCCGCCGTCGAGGCCATGTGCGACCCCTTCCACTGGGGGCTGCGCAAGAAGGGCGTCACCGTGTCGACGGTCGGCGTCGCGCCCGCGCTCCGCAAGCTCACGCGCGAGCTGCCGGACGTGAGGGTCGCGCTGAGCCTGCACGCGCCGACGCAGGCGCTCCGGGAGCGCCTCGTGCCCGCGGCGCGCCACTGGCCCCTCGACGAGCTCGTCGGCGCCCTCGACGACCACCTCGCGAAGACGGCGAAGCGCCACTCGTCGTCGTCGTCGGGCATGATGGTCGAGTACGTGCTCATCAAGGGCGTCAACGACGCGCCCGCGGAGGCCGACGCGCTCGCGGCGCTCTTCGCGCACCGCAACGTCTACCTGAACATCATCCCCTACAACCGGAACGTCACGGCGGAGATCCACGGCTTCGCGCCGCCGGACGAGGCCACCGCGCGCGCGTTCGGGAAGCGGATCATCGACGCGGGCGTCCGCGTGCGCCTGCGCAAGGAGTACGGCGCGGACATCGCCGCGGCCTGCGGGCAACTGGCGCTCGACTCCGCCGCGGCGAAGAAGTCGTTCAACGCCGTCGACATCGAGGACGCCGCGGGAGGCCCCGCCGCGGGGCCGGCGAAGCGACGGCCCCGGACCTTCGGGCCTCGCAAGGCCGCGCCGGAGGCCCGCGCGGCGTCGACCGCGGCGCCGACCGCGGCGCCGACCGCGGCGCCGACCGCGGCGCCGCGGGCGCGGCCCGACCTCGGCGGCTACCTCTTCGCGGCCATCTCCCTGACGTCCGCGGCGCTGCTCCTCTGCCCCGGGTAAGGAAGATTTTTCGCACGAAGCGACGTTACGCCGCGGCGCGCGCGAAGCGTGGGCGCCGGGGCGTTGCCGGGGGGATACGGGCACGGGGGCGTGCGCGTGGGGACGAAGCGGGCAATTTCAGCGCCTAGGCGGCCTCGCGGAGGACCTTGACGACGGACTTGAAGGCGAACCACTCGGGGATGTCCTCGCCGCCGCGGAGCATCTTGCGGAACTTGGTGCCGGAGAGCTTGAGGGCCGTGAGGTTCTCCTCCTTGGCCTCCTCGGCCGTGACGTAGCCCTTCTCCTCCGAGTAGACGAGGTTGAGCGAGGGCACGGCCTGCATGCCCATCTTGGGCCCGTTCTCGAGCGCAAAGTCCTGGGCGTCGTAGGCGCCGTAGAAGTCCTCCTCGTCGATGGACGACTTGCAGCCCGCCATGTCGCGGCCGATGATGAAGTGCGTGCACCCGAAGTTCTTGCGGATCATCATGTGGTGGATCGCCTCGCGCGGGCCCGCCATGTGCATGGAGTAGGGGAGGTAGGCCCAGAAGGTGCGCGGGTTCGCCGTCTCCTCCTTGAGCACCTCGTAGGTCTTGTAGCGCACGTCGCCGGGGATGTCGCCGGGCTGCGTCGGGCCGCACGTCGGGTGCACGAGCACGACGCCGTCGCCCTCAACGTTCGGCGCGTCGAGCGCGCGCGTGAAGAGCTCGTAGTGGGCGCGGTGCACGGGGTTGCGGCACTGGAAGGCGACGATGTCGACGCCGTCGGGCAAGCGCTCGCGCACCTCCGCGGGCGTCTCGCACGGGAACTCGCGCACGGGCTTGTTGAGGCCGACGAGCTTGCCGCCGAGGTAGTACTTGCCGCGCTCCATGGCGACCATCTGCGTGCCCGGGTGCTCGAGGCTCGACGTGCCGTAGCAGTTCTTGCACTCGAGGGGCTTGTCCGGCGCGAACTTGGACGTGACCTCCATCGTCGCGACCGGCAAGTTGCCCTGCTTCAGGAGGATCTTCGCGCCGACGGCGACGGCCTCGTCGTCCGTGTCGAAGACGACGGGCAGCGAGAACATGAGGCCGGAAGGCAGCTCCATGGAGTTGACGACGGAGCCGTAGGTCGCCTCGTCCATGAAGCCCTCGAGCGGGCTGAAGCCGCCGTTGCAGAGCAGCTCGACGTCGCACGACTGGCGGTCCGTGAGCTGGAGCTCCATGGAGCACGACGCCACCTCGGACTCGATGTCCTCCGTGAAGAGGTTCACGAGCTTGCCGCCGTGGGGCTCCTGCTTCGACGCCGCGAGCGACCTAAGGAGGGTTCGTGTGTCTTTCAAGCTGCGGGAGATGACACTCCCGACGCGCGACGCTAAGTTTTCCCGGACGCCGCCGGCGACGTGACGGGCGCGACCATGGGGCGCGGGGCCATGAAGGCCGCGGCGGAGCCGGCGAGAGCGAGAAGGCGGACCATGTTGATAAGCCAAGAGCGAGCTAGCAGTGCGACGTCGCAGTCACGTGTGCGTGGCCGATGGGGCAAGGTCAGCGAGGGGCGCGGCACCGTCTGCATCGCGATATCGACGACCTGTGGGAAAGGACGTGGAATAAGCCTGGTTTTATCAATTTTGCCCACCCACTTCATAGCGCACGCGCACACAACGTTTCGAGCAACATTCGAAGCACGACCGCTGCGGCGAAACAGGAGAGAAGCTCTCCGACAGCGGCAAATCACGACCGCTGCGGCCAAACACCACAGAACCGCTCTGCGACAGGACAGCAACAAATGGGCGCCGCCATCACCACGGCCACGCTCGTCATCGGGCTGAGCGCGTCCTGCGGCGCCTTCTCCTCGACCGCGCAGCCGCGGCCGCCGACCGCGCTCCGGGCGAAGAAGGCCGACCCGTCGCGCGTCGCCGACGGCCTCGTGCTCGCGTACCGCGGCGCGCTGCTCGCGTCGGCGACGGCGCTCGCCGCGGGCACGGTGCGCGCCGGGCTGGAGGGTAGCGGCCTCGCCGTCGACGGCCCCTTCGACGGCCGCGGCGAGGCCGCGGCGTTGAGCGCGCTGGCGCTCGTCGCGGCCCCGGGCGCCGTCGACGCGGCGAGCGGCAGGGTCGCGGCCGCGGCGCGGCTCGCGCTCGCCGTCGCCGCCGCGAGCGCGTACGCGGGCGACGCGGACGCCGCGCTCGCCGCCGTCGTCCTGGCGTGCTGCTACCGCGAGGTCGCGTTCTTCGGGTTGGAGTACAAGGTCGAGGCCGCCGTCGCGGCGGCGCTCGTCGCCGCCGCGCCGTTCGCGCCGGCCGCCGCGCGGCAGGCGGTGGACGCGGGCGCCGCGGCGGCCTACGCGCTGCTCGCCGTCGCCAAGGTCCTCGAGCCCCTGGACGCGGACCGGCGGCCCGACGGGTCGGGCTTCCTGCTCGGGCCCTGCAGCGTCCGCGAGATCGCGGCCGAGCGGACCGTCGACGTCCGCGAGGCGGTGCTCTGGCCCGGCCGCCGCGACATGTGCGTGCTGGCGTCCGACGGCGACGGGACCCACTTCGGCGCGTTCTTCCCGGCGGCGGACAACGAGCGGCCCGTCGGCGTCATCTCGCTGTTTTTGGAAGGAGACGAGGCGACGTTCCGCAAGTTCGCCGTGCTCGAGGACTTCCGGCGCCGCGGCGTCGGCGGCACGCTGCTCGCCGCCTGCGAGGCCGCCGCCGCGGACCGCGGCGCGGCGGCCATCGCCTGCGACGCGCGCCGCGAGCAGGCCATCGCCTTCTACGAGGCGCGCGGCTACGCGGCCGACGGCGCGCCCTTCAAGAAGTACCCCGGGAGCGACGAGGTCTACGTGCGCATGCGCAAGCCCCTGGGCAGCGTCGTGGATTAACACGCGGCGCGGGTGATACGGCGCGCCTGCTTCTTCTTCTTGTCGGGGGGAGTCGTCGTCGTCGCGAAGGGGCGGGGCGCCCTCCGCTACGCGACGGCGCAGCCGCAGGCCGCGTCGGCCGCGGGCGCGTCGCGCGTCGCCTCGTCCTTCGGCGCGACGCGCGCTTCGACCTTCTTCTCCATCTTCGCCGCGGCGCCGGGCAGCGACTCGCGGAGCGCGGCGTTGGTCATCACCGCGCCGATGTCGACGGGGCCCTCGTCGACGCGGCGCGACCGCTCCGCGTCCGCCGCGGCGTCCGCGGCGCGCGCGTTCGCGGCCCGCTCGGCCTCCTGCGCGAGCGCGGCCTCGAGGGCCGCGAGGACGCGCGACTCCTGCTCGCGGTCCGCGAGGCCCCGGACGAGCACCGTGTTCGCCCGGGCCTCGAGCTCGACGCCCAGGGTCGCCGCCGCCGTCGGCCGCGGCGCCGTGCCGTGCTCGGCGACGCGCGCGGCCTGCTCCGCGGACGACGCGCGCCGCGCGCGCCGCACGTTCGCCTCGCGCTCGCGGCGCGCGTCGTCGTCCATGTGCTTGAGCTCGAGGAGCCGCTCCGCGCGCGCGGCGGAGGCCGCCGCGTAGGCCTTCTCCCGGTTCGCCGCGCGCTCGCGGGCCATGGCCGCCTCGAGCGCGGCGACGTCCCGGAGCTTCTCCGCGCGCGCCGCCTCCGCCGCGACGCCCGAGAGCCGCCGGCTCTGGCGCGACGCGACGCCGTCCGCCGTCGCCTCGAGCTCGCCCGCGTCGACCGGCGGCCGCGCGCGCCGCGGCGACGACACGCGCTCCGCGCGCTCCGCCTCCGCGGCCGCGGCGACGACCGCGCGCCGCTCGGCCCGCGCCGTCGTCTCCGCGGCGTCCGCGGCGTCCGCGGCCGCGACCTGCGACGGGTCGGATTGGTGCCTACGTAGCCCGCCAGGCCGGAGGCACCGACGCTGGCCGCGACGCGCTCCGCGCGCTCCAGCTCCATGGCCTCGACGGCCGCCTTGCGGTTCCGCTCGCGCTCGCGCTCCGACTCGGCCGCGAGGAGCGCGGCGGCGTAGACCTACCGAGGGTTTCCTTGAGGTCGCAAGCGGCGATCGAGGCTTCCGAAAAGCGACCAGTGCTTCGGGTCGCGAGGGGGCCACTTTCCGTCGTCGGACGCCGGGACGGACGCGCTCCGCCTGCTCGCGGTCCGCGAGGCCCTTGACGAGGATGCCCGTCGCCGTCCGCTCCGCGGCGGGGACGAGCGACTCGTGGACCTCCGCGAGCGACGAGCGCCGGGGCGAGCTCCCGTGCGCGCGGACCTGCGCCGATCGCGTCGCGCGGAATCGTCGCCGCGGCGCGACGCCGGCGCGCGACTCGTTGTTGTTGCTCCTGCTCCGCGAGCGCGTCGGCCAACAGGGCGCCGGCCGTACGCTCGGTGCGTTCTCGCCGCACAATCGCCTCTTCTTGTTCGAGCCGCTCGCGGAGCGCCGTCGCCTATTGTGACATTCTTCTCCCAAAAAAGTCGGGGAATTCTTCCTCGCCTGCGCCGCCTGGGCCAATGCTACGTTGCGCTGGCGCTCGAGGTGCGAGAACACCTCGTCCACCGGCGGGGAACGGCGCTCCTTAGGCATTTTTGGCGCTCAGAATCTCAAGGGAGATTTTTTTTTGCCGCAAAATAGCGAGTGCGCAAGCCTCGGCAACGCCTCGACCCCCTCCGCAGCCGCCCACGGGTGCGGGAGCCCGAGGCCTCGCCCTGGAGTTCGCCCTGCCGCACGATCCGTGGTGTTCGTTCGGTGGTCGTTACGCGGGAGCGCCGGGGCGTCGGTCCGGCGAGCGCCGTCGCGCGCGCGCGCGCGCGGGTGCGGCTCGCCGACGCCCGCCGCGCCGCGCTCAGGAGGCGGCCTGCTGGAGGCTCTTCATGGCCTTGCTGATCTCGTCCTGGAGGCTCTGGAGGTGCGAGATCGCGTCCGCCTTCATCTCCGGGTCCGCCTGGAGCGACTTGAGCGTCGCGTCGTCGTTGAGCGCGACGCAGCCGTCGGCCGACGGCAGCTCGACGAGGAGCGACGGCGCGGCCGTCTCGCCGGCGAGCTTGGACTTGGAGCCCTTGACCTTGATGGTCGCCGCGAGCTTGGCCGTCGACATGGGCACCGCCGCGAGCGGCGACCCGTTGACGGACATGATCGTCTCGCCGCAGCGCGGCGCGCGCGCGTTCGCCGGCGTCGCCGCGACGCGCGGGCCGCCGCCGCCGCCCCGGGGCGTCGCGCCCGGGCCGCGCGGCGCCGCGGGCGCCGCGATCGACTTCGACCGCGACGCGGACGTCGGCACGACCTTCTCGACCTCCCACTGCGCCGCCTTCTTCAGCGCCTCCTCCATGCACCCGCCGAACTCGCTCGAGAAGTGGTCCACCTTCATCTCGCGGATCTTCCGGGGGATCTTCAGGAGCTCGACCTGGAAGTGGTTGAGGAACTCCTGGCGCATGTCGCCCATCGCGCGCTTGAGCTTCTTCACTCGCCGCTCGGACTCGTGCTCGAGCTCGCCGATGACCGTCTCGAGGTACTCGGGCGACACCGTCTGGTTCTGCTCGGCCTTGTTCTCCGGCGCGTCCTCGGCGACGGCGGCGACGAGCGCCTTGCCGCGGCGCTTGCGCGTCTTCGGCGGCATGTCGGCGCCTTTGGCGGCGAAGCGACGGCGGCGGGGACCGTGGCGGTTGTGGACGGCGTTTGGGGCGACGTCCGGGGCGCGGATCGGCGCGACGCGACGTGCGGCTGCGCGGGGGTCGACGCGCTGAGAAAAACGACGTTATCGCTTCTTAGCGTTGTCGCGCGCGACTCTCGGAGGTCTTCAGTGACGGGCGCGATCTCTCTCGACGCACTGCGACGACGAGCGAACTCTCAAAGAGCGCGAGGGGGCGGCAACTGACAAGAGGACGCGGCCATCGACTCCAACGACGAGAAATGTCGATTTTGTTGACGCGAAGTTGGCCTCCGACGGCCCGTAGACATCCGCGTTCACACTCGTGCCCGATTCCTCTCGTCATGCGCATGCGGTCCGAAGCTCGGGGGAGCGGCGTCGTCGTGGGTCGCCGACGTACTTCGCCATCCGAACGCGCGGCGCGGTCGGTCACAAGGGGGGGGGGGACAAGGCGCGAGCTGGCCGTTCGTCGACGCGCCCTTGCGCTGGTGAATGCCCGGGGTCGACGCGGCAGAGTCGAAGCGCGTTCACAGGAGACGACGGAGGCGCGAGCTGGTTGATAAGGGGGCCCTGCGCGACGGTGCGTGCCGCGGTCCCCGGCCACGTCCCCGGCCCGTGCCCAGGCCGTGCCCGGGGCCCCGTGCCGGGCCCGTGCCGGGCCTCCCCGGCCCGTGCCCGGCCCGTGCCCGGGGCCCGTGCCGAGTGCCGGGCCCGTGCCGGGCCGCGTGGCCCGTGCCCGGCCCGTGCCCGGGGGCCCGTGCCGAGTGCCGTGCCGCGTGCCGGGCCCGTGCCGGGCCGCGTGCCCGGAGCGCATTTACCGTGCCGGAACCCCCGTGCCCGCCGTCCCCGGCCCCCGTCCCGGGGCCGGACCGTCGTGCAGGGGCCCGTTTGATACCAGTGAAGTGATCAAAACTCGGATTCTGATAGCCTGGATTTAAAAGTCAACATTTTTGTTGAACTTCAGCACTTTTGTTGAAGTTAAATCTTGCGATTTCTTGACCCGAACCAGCGACCGCGCGCAAAAAGTCTTCGCAAACGTGCAATCAACGCGTGAGTATCATCAAGCTTGCTTTGATACGACCATTTAACCAATTTTGGCCGTGATTTCAGCCCGCGGACCTCCGCGACACCGCGCCCGCGCGCGCGGTCGACGCACAGCCTCTATGGAGGACTAATGACTCTGGCTCCGCCGGCCGGAATTCGATGATTGATCTTTATTAATTAATTTCCTATGGGCGTGTCTAGATGTACGTTGATCACTTCACTGTTTGATACCGTAAATCTCGCCGGGGTATTTCGGCTACCACGTATCTTGTGCTGAGCACGGGCGTTCTCAGAGCCCAGGCCTGAGATCGGCGACATCCGCGCGTGATGGCCGCATCAACAGCGTCCCCGCCCCCCTCCCCCTCGAAACCCGACCCGGGGTACTTCGTCGGCGTGCCCGCGTCGGCCCAGACGTGGCCCGGGCCCGGGGGCGACGCGGGGCGCCTGAGCCCGGACATGCTCCGCGCCTTCGAGAGCGCGCGCGACGGCGACACGGCGCCGCTCCCCGCGGCGGCGCCCCCCTCGTCCTCGAAGGGCGCGAAGGCCCTGTTGAGCATGTTCGAGCCTCCGGTGACCGCGGCGCCCTCGTCAAAACGGAATCCCTGCGCCCCGGCCGCGCCGGGGCTTCAACGCCAAAACCCGAAGCAGCTCGTTCCGGATACGGCCTTCGACGCGCTCGCCGGGCGCCCCATCGGGGCCTTCCGCGGCCACGTCGGGAAGCTCTTCTCGAGCTGGTGGACGGGCGCGAACGCCCACACCTACAGCGGCGCGGGCCTGCCCCGCATCGCCAGCGAGGAGTGGCGTTAGCTTACGCCCTCGGCGGCGCCGCGCGCCCCCGCGCGCCGCGCCGCCGACCGGGCCCAGCGAGCCCGGCTTCGCACGGTTTGCATCTGTTTGACGACCGGTGGCCCGTCGCCCCTCGGCAAGTAACCCAGGACGACGCGCCCCTCCCGCGCGCGCGCGCGAAAAGCGCCCGCGGCGGCGGCCGACCCCTAAAATAAATGTGATCTCCTATCCGCGCGGCTACGCGGCGCGGCGCGGAGCCCGCGCGCCGCCCGAGCGCGCGCGCGCCTCCCTGCCCGCGCGGCCGCCGCGCGCCGCGCGGCGTCGCGAACGGCGGTTTTGTGGGAACCGAGCGTCAGGATCGCATCAGTGGCCGTGCGCGTCCGGTCGTCCGCGAGTCATCAACTTCAAGACCGTGGATTACTTGGAAGCCGCGAGATCCGCGCTGTAAACTTCACCGAGCGTATCATCCTCGTCAAGATTGCCAAAAAACGAGAGGTCATTCATCAGGGTGGTGCCGAGCCTCATTCATCAGGGCTCGTGCAGGGTGGGCAGCCACCCCAGACCTCAAGCACGACGGAGATGACGGAGAAAGCCCGTCCGCCCCCCGCGTCCCGTCGCCCGACCGCCCCCGCCCCCGCCCCGAGCCGCCCCCGCGCCGCAGGCTACAGGGCGGCGTCCCCGAACGGCGCCGCCGGCGCGTTCCTGTCCGTGGACGACGATGCCCCGGCCCTGGAGACGGGGTCGGGCCCCCTGGGCCCGACGCGGCTCACGGGCCGCCTGAGCAGCGCCCTGCAGGAGAGCTTCCGCGGGTCCGTGCGCATGAGCAGCCAGGAGGTCGACGCCATGCAGGAGAGCTTCCGGAAGCGCAAGGCGAAGCAGGGCGCCCTCGAGAAGGGCCAGTTCCCGGAGCAGAAGGGCGCGATGTTCCCCGTGCTCGACCCGGACAGCGACGCGCGCTTCTCCTGGGACTGCTACCTCATGGTGCTCATCTTCTACGTCATGCTGGTGACGCCCTTCCAGCTCTCGTTCACGAACGCGCCGACGCACCCGAAGGACACGTTCACGCTCGGCAGCCCCTCGGGCTACAACAAGTACATCGGCCTCTGGGTCTCGAACATCTTCGTCGACATCGCCTTCATCTGCGACCTCGTCCTCGCCTTCAACACGGGCTTCTTCGACCACAACGAGGGCGAGTGGGTCGTGTCGCGCGACCGCATCGCGCGCGGCGCCCGCGTCCCGGGGTTTCGGGGGGGCGCGTCCATGGGGGGACGCCCGCCGCGCTTTTTTAGGTGGGCCTACTTCCGGAGCTGGTTCTGGCTCGACTTCCTGAGCGTGCTGCCGTACAACGCGATCGGCGGCGGCAACGCGGGCTTCCTGAAGATGCTCAAGTGCGTGCGCCTCCTCAAGCTCTTCCGCGTCTTCAAGCAGCCGCGCATCATGGCGCGCATCGCCGCGCGGAACACGATGCGCGCGGGCCAGCAGGCCGTGCTCAAGTACATCGCGATCCTCTTCTTCCTGCTCCACTGGGCGGCCTGCGCCGTCCGCATGATCGGCTTCCTCACGCTCGACGGCTGCCACGCCAAGGACAACCTCGGCGACGACCCGGCCATGACCTGCGGCGAGACGATTTTAGCCAAGTACTGGAACCGGGGCATCTGGGCGCAGTACGTCAACGCGCTCGTCTGGGCGCTCGGCACGCTCCAGGGCGGCACGGACGCGACGACGGTGGCCGAGGAGGTGCTCTGCCTCGTCGTCGGCCTCCTGGGGTGCATCGTCATGGCCTTCCTCGTCGGCGACCTCTGCAACGTCGTCGGCAACATGGACCCCGTGGGCAACGACTACAGCCTGACCATGGACACGCTCAACAACTGGTTCGACGAGTCCCAGCTCCCCGTGCACCTGCGCAAGCAGCTGCGGGAGTACATGGGCCTCGCGGAGAAGTCGTTCCGCGACGCGCACAACAAGGCGACGCTCGAGCGGCTCTCGCCGACGCTCAAGGCCGTCGTCATGCACCACAACCTGGAGCGCGAGGTGGCGAACATCCCCTTCTACGCGGCCGCCGTGACGCGCGCCTACGCGCTCCAGCCGGGCCGCCGGCTCTCGATCACGCCGAGCGACAACTTCCAGCGCGGCGCGCCGCGCGGCGGCGAGCGCTGCGGCCAGCCGCGGACCGCGACGATGATCGAGCTCGACTCCAACCTGGAGATGCTCGTCAAGTACGACGACGGCGAGACGGAGGAGGAGGTGCCCGTGAGCCGCGTCAACGTCCACGGCTACCGCCTCGGCCCCGCGTTCGAGCGCCAGATGGACGCGTTCATCTACCAGCACGACCGCTTCGTGCTCGCGCTGAGCACGCACGTGAGCACCAAGTTCTTCATGACGGGCGACGTCATGGTCCACGCGAACCAGAGCCTCAACACGGAGATGTTCATCATCTCCACGGGCCGCGCGCTCGTCTGGGGCGACAAGTCGGCGAACCCCGTGTTCTCGTTCACGCGCAAGTCCGTCTACGACACCATCGGCGACGACATCTGCATGCTCACGGTCGCCGGCCGCAGCCCGACGCCGCGCCTCTACAGCGTGCGGTCGACGACGACGACGGAGTGCTCCGTGCTCGACGGCCCGCCGTTCGTCGAGACCGTCGGCAACGGCCAGTTCTCCGCGTTCTACCGGGGCATGCGCAAGTACGGCGCCTGGCAGCTCCTCCGCTACGCCATCCTCCGGTCCGTGCGCCTCAAGCAGCGCCTGGGCACGCCCTTCGAGGCGTCGCTGCCCGCGCTCGGCGCCGGCGCGTGCGAGCCCGACGCCGTCAAGGAGGCCGCGGCCGACGCCGTGCAGGTCCTGCTCAAGAAGGTGCTCGCGACGGACGCGGGCAAGCTCGAGGGCCTCGCCGAGGTCGCGGGGGCGACGCTCTGCCGGAGCCTCGAGGCCGTGAAGCAGATCCTCGCGGACCCGGCGGCCGCGGCGCTCGCGGAGCAGGAGGCCGTCGAGAAGGTCACGGCGTCGACGGCGCCCGTCGGCTCCCTCTCCATGTTCCTCGAGCGACCCACCTACCCCTCGGGCCGCTTCTACGCCCCCAACCGCCCGAGCCAGGACCAGGACGCCCTCGCGAACCGGAGCTGCTTCTCCCTCGGCGCGGAGGCGCCCCGGGCCGTCCCGCTCCCCCCGGGCGTCAACACCGACGGCACGCCCGTCGACCCCGCCGCGCGGCCCTGGCAGCTGACCTGCTAAATTTCCGTTCCGGCGTTCGTCGTGGCCGGTCTCCCGGAGCCCCGGCAGTGCCCCGGCGGCCCGCGACAACCCGCGACGAACGCCAACATCCCTGCGTTGTACCTCACGTTTCCCTCAGTTGAAGATTTAGAACATCCCGGCGCCATCACGGCGGGCAGCCTTTTCTCGCGCGCGCGCGAGGCCCCTGTTACATACGCGCCGTCGGGCATGACCATGTCCTACGGCAGCATCGCGGCGGCGGCGCCCGCGCCGCCGTCGCGGCTCCCGCCGCTGGGGCGGCTCCTGGCGGCGTTCGGCGCCGTCGGCGCCTGGGTCGTCGTCGCGGGCGCCGCGCGGTCGTCGCGGTTCCGCCCGACGCTCGCGGCGGCCGGCGCGGCCGACGCGGTGTCGGAGCCGGGCTACGCGGTTTCGCGCCACCCCGTGAGCGTCGACCAGGCCCTCGAGGCCTGCGCCGCGCTCCCCGCCACGCCCGAGACGTACCGCGACTGCCCCGCGGCGGACACGACGATGTGGTGCCTCCGCATGCGGAGCGCGTTCAAGTCCGGGGCGTTCGACCCGGCGGACTGCGACACGGAGATGTGCCTGAGCATGGCGACGTCGCCCTGCGCTCAGAGCTGCGTCGGCGCGGACGGATCCTTCGCCGAGGCCGGGTGGTTCGAGCCGTGCGCGTGGGACGCGATGGTCCACTTCGACGCCTTCTGCGACGGCACCTGGACGCCCGCGCTGCCGGCCGCCGTGGGCGCCGTGAAGGACGGCGACGACGACGCCGCCTACGCCGCCGCCAAGGCCCTGGGCGCGGACGGCGGCAACGACGTCGACGACCCGGACGCGCTCAACAAGTGCGACGCCAAGGCCTTCTGCCTGGCCTGCGGCGCCGACGACGCGTCGGCGGAGTCGTGCCGCGCGGCGCTGGCGCCCGTCGGCGGCGTGCTGGCCTCCTTGCCCTGGGGCGACGGGCAAGCGTGGGGCGGCGCGCCCGTCGTCCCAAACCGGCCCGCGGACGCGGGCTACGCGGACCCCGCCCGCCGCCGCCTCGGCCAGGGCGGCGAGGGCGGCGTCGCCGTGCTCCTCAACAAGGGCGACTTCTGCGGAAACGACGAACGCGCGTAGGCGCCGCGCGACGTAAGGACGACTCGATCGACGTCCCGGCGGTGATCCCGGCGGCGACGCCCGCGCGGAGGCGCCTCCGCGGTGCGGATTTTAGGGCGCGGGGGGGGCGTCGAAGGTCGCGGCCGCGTAGGCGAAGGGGTCGGCGACGTCGGCGACCTCGCCGCGGGCCGTCGCGAAGCAGCCCGCGCCGCAGGCGAAGCCGGCGCAGGCGTCGACGACGGGCGCCGGGGGCGCCCCCCCGGCGAGCGCCGCGGCGGCGAAGCGGTCGACGTAGGCCGCGAAGGACTCGCCGCCGACGGTCTCGAGGTTGCGGTAGTTGCCGAGGAGCTCCGGCGCGCCGCCGCCGTCGCCGACGACGGCCGCGCCCTTGGTCAGCTGCTCGTGCATCCAGCACGACGGCGCGTAGACCGCCGCCGTCGCCGGAAGCTTCGCGAAGGCCGCCTCGTAGCGCGCGTGGACGCGAGCGCTCGCGGCGCGCTGCGCGGCGTCGAGCCGGCTCCGGAGGTACGACGCCTCGGAGCCGCGCCACGCGGCGAAGGCGGCCGCGTCGTCGGCGGCCATGGCGTCCGGGTTGATGTCCGACACGCGGTGGAGGAGGAACGCGTCGTCGAGGGCCTGGAACACGACGAGGGGCGCCTCGACGTAGGGCAGCGCGTTTTCGGTCACGTAGCACCGCCACGCGTCGGCGGCGGCGAATTCGGCCGCGCAGCGCTCGGCGACGCGCCCATGGGCGAAAGCGAGCTGGTTCCGCGCGTAGGTCTCGGCCCAGGGCGTCGGCGACCCCGGCGCCGTCCCGTCGACGGCGCGGCGCGCGTCCGCGGGCATCGGTAGATCGAGGTAGACGGCGCTGTCGACGACCTGTGTGGAAATCAAATCTTCAACCCGACTTCAATGTGCGCGTAATTGAACGGTTTAGACCAGACTCTTCGACTGCGCTTCAAGAACTCGACGAGAGCAATCGATTCGTCCAAAAATCAGCCGAATCGACTTCGAATTGGCCGAGATAGAGAGTTCTGAAGTTTGGTGGGGGGCCCCCAAACCAGTGGTTGATTTCCACACAGTCGACGACGGCGAGGAGCGTCCCGCCGCAGGTCTCCCGGACCCGCTTCGCCAGCCGGTCCGCGTGCTGGACGACGCCGCGGCCGCCCGCGGACGACCCCGAGAACACGACCAGAGTCTCCGCGCCCGCGGCGCCGAGGCCGCGGTTCCGCTCGAGGTCGTCGAAGACGGCGTCGAGTATGCGCGACCCGCGGAAGTGGCGCCCGCCCGTCGCGTCCGACGCGCCCCGGTCGCCGACCCAGGCGTCGGAGGAGCAGTACCAGACGTAGACGGCGTGCGCGTCGCCGAGCAGAGCGCTCTCGCCGTCGCTCAGGATCGTGCCCGGGGCCGCGCCGAGGTGCTCCTTCGAGGCCTTCGACGAGAAGTGCCAGGTCTGGCCCTTGGCGGCGTAGGCCGCCTCGTTGGCGGCGCACTCGTCCGCGCTCACGCAGGCGCCGCCGCCCTGGAGGTGGACGACCCACGCGGCGCCGCCGCGCGAAGCGGGCGCGTAGTAGTAGAGGGCCGGGGTGCCGTCGTTGCACACGGCCCGCGGGTCGCCGTCGAGCAGGTGGCGGTCGAGGACCCGCGCCCAGCCGCCGGGGGGACCGTCGGTGGCCGGGCCGTCGGCCTCGACGGCCAGCGCCGCGGGCGCGAGCGCACCCGCCGGGCCGCGCGCCGCGTAGGCCAGCAGGCAGAGGGCGGCGCTGACGACGGCGGCGCACCGCAGCGACGCCGTCGGCCGCGTCGACGCGAGCAGCGGCGCCGCCTCCGCGGGGGGCGGGCCGCACATCGTCCGGAGCACTCGATAGGGGGCTGCCTCTTTCCACGATCGCGTGATGTCATAAGAGCACGTTGCATGCACTATGGCGCCATCGTGGCCCCCTTCAATAACTCGTTAACATTGAGTAGTTGCAGCTCTGCGGCATGGCTTAGAGTGTTTGCGACTCGGTAGAACGCCTCCTCCGCGCGCGATGGACGGGCTCGATGCGCTCTCCTTCGACCACGTGCTCCGCCTGCACGCGGCCTGCTCCCTGGCCGTCGGCGCGTGCATGGTGCTCGTGCCCCACGCCCTCTTCGGGCGGCTCTCCGGCGAGCCCTACTCGCACGTCGCCCACGAGCTCGCGCGCTGCTACGGCGGCCTGACGCTCGCGCAGGCCTGGTTCGCCTGGCGCACGCTGGGCATCGCCGAC